TGTTACTGAAGTCACTGGCAAGCTGCTTTGAAAGAATATATAAACATGACCAGACCAAGCACTCTTAATGTTCTTGAACTCCTAAGAAAGCAATTTCTCATGAGTTCAGAAAAATTAGAAAATTAGAAAGAGAATATTTCATCATAGCAGAATTTCCTCACAAAAAATGCAAATGAGGACTGGGTGCTATGATGCAATCCTGTAATCCTAGCTACTTGGGAGGCAGAGATAGGGAGGATAGCAGTTTGAGGCCAGCCAACAACTGGGCATAGTGGCATGCATCTGTCATCATAGCTAATTGGGGAAGCTCAAATAGGAAGATCATGGTCCCAGTTGACTAGGACATAAGGCAAGCCCCTGTCTCAAAAATAACCAGTGGCTCACACCTGTAACCCTAACAATGCAGGAGACTGAGATCAGGAGTTTCATGATTTGAGGCCACTTTGGGCAAATACTTCAAGAGACCCAATCTCCAAAATAGCCAGTGCAAAATGGACTGGAGGTATGGCTCAAGCAGTAGAGCATCTACTGTGCAAGCAAAAAGCCCTGAGTTCAAATCCTGGTCCCCTTGGGGTTGGTGGAGTGACTTAAGTGGTAGAGCCTGCCTAGGAAGCATGAAGCCCCAAGTTCAAACCCCAGGCCCTCCAAAAATCAATCAACACACAAACCCTGATCCCACCAAAAAAAAATAAATAGCCAGCACAAGGACCAGAGCTGCAGCTCAAGTGGTAGAGGGCCTGCCTAGCACGCACAAAACCCTGAGTTCAAACTCTGGCACCTCAGAAAAACAGTTGTGTTTGAGCATGGCAACTGAAGAAATGTGCCTACAGAAAGCAAACTTTGTTGAGAGGGCTAGCCTTGTGGCAAGAAGTTTCTTACAGTCATTGGGAACAGCATTAATATCAATTAAAAAACAAGGTACAGTTGGAGGTGTGGCTCAAGTGGTAGAACACTTGCCTAGCAAGTGTGAGGCCAGTACCATCCAAAAAAAAAAATCTAAAACAAAACAAAATCCAAGGCAAATTCTGGGTATGGTGGTTCACATCTGTAATCCTAGCTACTCTGGTAGCAAAGGCAGGAGGAGCTTCAGTTTAAGGCTGGCCTGGGCAAATTTAGTGAGACCTTATCAAAAATAAAGCAAAACAACAAGTTGGGGGCACATCTCAAGTGGTAGAGCATTTGCTTAGCATGTGCAGGCCCTGGGTTCATTTTCCAGCACCACAACCACCTCAAACAAACACACACTGTACTAGTGCAACCTGAAATGTAATCTGCTAATCTTTTATGACTGATAGTAAAAATGTGTGTGGAGCACAAAAAGATGTAATTGTACAAATTTAGAAGGCTTATGAAAATGTAAAGTGTTCATTGTATTACTCATCAGCAGGTACTTTGCAGTAAATATTTGAATTTATCATGGTATTTAACTGCTAGACAGTAATGAATTTTACATGCTCTTGAGGACTTTTTTTTGCAGTTCTGTAGTTTGAGGTCAAGGCCTGCACCTTGAGCCACTACACCACCATCCCTTTTTGGTGATGGGTTTTTTCGAGATAGGGTCTCGTGAACTATTTGCTCAGGCTGGCTTTGAACCTTGATCCTCCTGATCTCTGCCTCCTGAGTAGCTAGGATTACAGGCATTGGCCACCGGTGCCTGGTTGCTCTTGGGTTCTTAACCATCAAGTCCATGAATTTTTGCCAGAAGTAGAAGCTGAACACCAAATCACACAATGATTTAATGGTTTATTAGTGGTCAATTTTTCTTGCAAATTTTTTGGATATTTTTGAGACAAGGTCTCACTATGTAGCCAGGTTGGGCTCAAACTTTCAGTCCTCCTGCCTCTACGTCCCAAGTGCTGGAATTATAGGTGTGTACCACCACCTCTGGCTTTCATTGCAGTTTTTTTGTTCCAAGCTGAGATTTAATGAGAATGCTATCAGCTACTACTATTGAACACTGAATGCCTTTAGAAATTAGCTTTTGCTGCAGAATTGACAATACTTCAAGTGAATTCAGTATACAATTACAAGGTAAAACAGCACTTATGCAGGCAAATCTTATGCTGCTTTAGTTACAAACTAAAGAAATGATCACTGAAAGTATGGTCTTTTATGCTGCTTTACTGAAGTCATTTTAAGGGCAATTAATGCTTGAATCATGTCATGCTAAGCTGCCTTATACCCTTTCTGTCAAGATTGCCAACAAATGCAAGTTTTCCATTCTTTTTTGTTGTGGTTATTTGGTGATACTGGGGTTTGAACTCTGCTAGGCAGGCACTCTAGTTCTCCATTCTTACACATTTACTGTGGATACATTTTCCAAATACAAAGTATAGTTAGAGCAGTGATTTTGTACCTTTATGTGAATGCAAAGGAAATTTCCATAATTCCAAATTCCACGTACCATGGTGTGGAGGTGCACACCTGTAATCTCAATATTCAGGAGGCTGATGCAGTAGGATCACCAGTTCAAGGCCACCTTGGCTGGTTAGTGAAAGTATCTCAAACAAAAACTCATTTACTTATTAAACTGAGGAGTTTATACCAAGCCTTCAACTGGAAGAGATTAAAAGAGTCATATCAAGTCTAATAAATCCCCTGCCCTGGAAGGAAGGGAGGGAGGGAAATATAAGACTGATAGAATTCTATAAATGGTGGCACTTGTCTGTAGTCCAAGCTACTTGGGAGTCTAAAGCATAAAGATTACTTGAGCCCTGACTTTTAAGACCAACCTGGGCAACATAGTCAGACTGTGTATCAAGGAAAAAAATACAGGATGCCAGCTAGATTGGATTTCAGATAAACAGTGGATCATTTCTTTAGTATAAGTATGTCTCATGCAATTTATGGGACATACTTATGCTAGAAAATTATTCATTGTTTATCTGAAATTCCACTTAATTTTGCTGTCCTGTATTTCGTGTGCTAATCCTAAGCACTACTTACTTCTTTGCTCCTGGCTCTGGACTCAGCTTCACTTTATGAAAGTTCCTCTTCTCCCCCTTTTCTACCCTTTAACTCCCAAGTTCATCTCCTAGGGAGCCAAGAGTTAGGAAGAATCTCTACTTCCCAGGAGACAGATTGGCCTAGTAGTTTGGAGGATTAATGCTTTAACTTGGTGCCAAGGCTGGGTACCTGCAGGCATCACGAGTGTCCAGCTTTTCTGTCTAACCAGACAGGATCTAGGAGAGCATCAGGCACTAGGGACCCTTCCAGATTTCTGCCCAGTGTCTTGGAATATTCCTGGGGCTTTGCCTCCTGCACCCCACCTCATTTACCTTTTCTAGTTCCTCTGTAGCTCCAAGCCTATGGAGGCACTTGTGAGCTCTGGGAACCAGACACAGTCTAATTCTGAGTTCATACTATTTCCTTTACCTAAAAACATCCTTCTCCCAATTCTTCATCCACTAGTACCACTCTTTCCCTGGTCCTTTCTTCTGTCCCAGCCTGGATCAAGGATCCTTGTAGGTTCCCAAGACACCCTGAGCAAACCTCCCTCAAAACTCTTTCTACACTTAGACTGGAGGTGTGGCTCAAGTGGTAGAGTTTAAACCCCAGTCCCACCAAAAACAAAACAAAACAAAAAATATCTTCCTACACTTATCCATTCACCTGTTTCTTCTCTGTCTCCCATGTAAATGTGAATAGGACAAGGACTGCTCCCGTGTCCTCCCTACTTAACATGGTGCCTGCACCTCAGAGGTGCTCAGTAAATGTGTGCTGAAGAAGAGTGGGGCTCTCTTTGGAGGCTTTGCTGCCCCTTTACTCCATCCAGCTGCCCCTGCCCCTGAAACACACTGAAGCACTTCTCCATACTTAAAGGCTGGGAAGATTTCTTAGCACTTGCTATCAGCAGTAAAGAAAACCTATCCAAATAGTCTCATCTCTGACCCGCTCACCCTGCCCCTCTTGCGGCCAGACTAGTGAGACCCCAAAGATCTGGACTGGTGCCTTAGTTACAGGTCCAGGCTGCACCCTGATCCAAGGCAGCTATTTCAGATCGGTCAGCTTTTCCTGCTGTGTTCCCTCTGTACACAGCCTTTGAGCCTTCTGCAGCTGTCCTTCTCACTGGCACCAGAGGACCCTCAAACCATTGGTTGCTTGCATTGTTAGGTTTGAGAGACTAAATAAAGAGAACCACAATGACTGCCCATCCCCTTGGCAGGGCCTCCTCAACCTAGGAGAGCTCTGACCTGGACACAGGTTTAAATAAAAAAAACAGGTAGATGGAGTATGTTCTGTGAGTCAGGGACACTCCACTGGGTGGATTGTGGGAGATGTTTGGGACTGTCTTGGCTATTACATGCAGGGTACAGGAGAGAACGTAATGAAGTGAGAGGACACCAGACAGACAGTCCTCAGATTCTCAGGATGTAAATAACTCTAGCTGCTGTACATCTTCCTGTATGACATGACTGGGGACAGGCCAGGCTGAGGGAGGGCTCTTCAGAATGCTATGAACTCCTTCCCAAACAGCTGTGTAGATAGTGCTAGCATGGTAATCATTGGAGATAGCAGTCCAGAGAGATACTTGTGAACTAGGCTTTCAGCTACAAAGTAGCACTCCTCTCAGCCCTGGTAATGGTATGAGGGAGGTTGCTAGGAAGTGGCAGGTGGATATGGGCATCAGGGAGCTACAGAAAATGTGGGAGAGGCTACTTCTGCTCTCGTGCATAGCCCCTTTCCTTGTGATTATTGGCTTGGCCTGGAAAACTTCGGGGTTGGGGTAGAGGCTCATCCAAGCTGCTGTTGAAGACCACAGCTAGCCACCACAGCCTTGTAGCCTATGCTTGCTTCCTTTCAGGCTGGCTTGGGACCTGAATATTGCGACAGATCTGAATGCTAAGGTCTGGTTTTAGCCCTGGGCCTGACCTGGTGTCCCAGTAGAACTGGCACCCCAGAGCAGGGACTTCACGGGACTTGGTGAATAACTTCTTGCTGGGAAGCAAGGAGCTTCACTCGCTGCTCCTGGCCCCCCGCCACATGGTTTCTCTTTGCAGGTACCTGAAGGAGTTCCGCACAGAGCAGTGCCCACTCTTTGTGCAACACAAATGCACGCAGCATCGCCCCTACACCTGCTTCCACTGGCACTTTGTGAACCAGCGGCGCCGGCGGTCCATCCGCCGTCGGGATGGCACCTTCAACTACAGTCCAGACGTCTACTGCACCAAGTATGATGAAGCTACAGGCCTCTGCCCAGAGGGCGACGAGTGAGTGCCCTGCTTGGCCTCAGAGAAACCCCAGGTCTCCTTCTGGATCAGATGCCCTCAGAGTAGGCTAAGCAGATCCTGGGAAATTAGTCAGAGGCTGTTTTGGGGAAGACTGGCTGTAGTTCAGCTCACCTTGTGGCTCAAACCTGGGCTCTGGCTCCCCGCCCCCCCAGCCAAGGATGCAGCAAGAAGGGTGCTTTCATTTTCCTTTCCCTACTTTAAGGAAACCCAAAACAGGGTTTTCTTCTGATAAACCCAAGAGAGCACATCTGAACCAAGGTGGCTTCCTAGGCCTTCTTTTCATCCTCCCTCTTCCTATCTTGTTACCATCCACTACACAATCTTTTACAGTTCCACCAGGGTGGCAGTTTAGAGATGCTAAATATCTTCCCACAAATACCTGTAGAGAAACAGGGCATAACACTAATGACAAACATGAAATGGTAAACCTGGGAGCATCACTGAGGGAATGTCGGCCCTGCTTGTCATTTGTTTCAACTTTGCAGAAGAATGTTGGAGTTCTGTGGGTACAGTGTGTTGAACTGTCCCTGTGTCAGTCCCCCTTTCTGGTTTTTTTTTCTTTTTTGGGGAGAGTGGGCGGTACTGGGGTTTGAACTCGGGGTCTCGCACTTGCTAGGCAGGTGCTCTTACCACTTGCACTGTTCTGCCAGGCCTTTTTTGTGTTGGGTATTTTTGAGATAGGGGCTCACTTTTATTTCCTGGGCTGCAATAAAAGATCCTCCTGATCTTTGCCTCCCTAGTAGCTAGGATTACAGGCATGAGCCACAGGCACCCAGCCAGTCTCACTTTCTTAAGAGAGGTTTTCTTGGATCTCCGTCCACCCTCCTTCCTCACACCTCTGGCACTCTGGGTATGGGGATTAGGGGTGGGAGGCTGTACCTACATTTCAGAAGGGCTGATTGTTTCTTTGAGGACTCCCAGTCTGGGCAGCATTTGTTCTCCAAGCATCTGTCCCACCCAGAAGTGCCTTCTCTGGAGCATCTGCAGGGAACCTGGGAATGCCAGGCCTGTCAGGCCTCAGCACTAAGTAGCAGAGCCATGGTGGCAGGAAGATTTGTCACTGCCTTCCTCCTTGATCCACCATCACTATGCACTCTGGGTCATGGTGACAGCCCTTCTACATTTGGTGGGGAAGGCTAGGGTTGAGGAAAATAGCTCAGGCCACGGGGGAAAGTTAAGTGACTCCCACTGCTGTGTTCTAGGTGCCCATTCCTGCACAGGACCACAGGGGACACTGAGCGCAGGTACCACCTTCGTTACTACAAAACTGGAATCTGCATCCACGAGACTGACTCAAAAGGCAACTGTACCAAGAATGGCCTGCACTGTGCTTTTGCCCATGGGCCCCATGACCTCCGCTCCCCTGTCTATGACATCAGGTGAGTGGTACTGGAATCAGGTCTGAGCAGGAGCCTGGCAGCCACTGATAACTCCAAAGAAGAAATGACAATGCCTTCTCCCTACCCTCTCTGTACTTTCTTCTTTTCCCAGGGAGCTCCAGGCTATGGAGGCCTTGCAGAATGGCCAGACCACAGTAGAGGGTAGCATAGAAGGCCAGTCTGCTGGGGCTGCAAGTCACGCCATGATAGAAAAAATCCTCAGCGAGGAGCCTCGGTGGCAAGGTACAGGTGCCACATGAATGGCCATATCCCCTCCAGCAAGACATCTGTCCCCTCCCTTTTCCTGCCCATAGGTGTCCTAAAGGACTTGGCTCACAATTACCTACTGCCTTCTCCAATCAAAGCCTCCACCTCTGCTGGGAGGCACCCAGTCCCCTCATTGCACCTTACACCTATCATTCAAAAGGCACACAAGGACCTGAGTCAAACCCCAATATTGCCAATTAAAAAAAAATGACACTTTGTAGCAGGGGCTTTCCCAGGTACACTGTGTTCCCAAGATCCCTCTGGCCTTCACATATGCACACTCAACGCATGTGTTCTCTACCCTCATGGAATGCCTTTTGGCCCTGTGAGCTATGGTTATCTCTGGTGAAGGGCAGCATGCTGCTCAGTTCACTGGGCTCTTAACCTTGGCTGTGGCTTCCCCAGTTTGTTCATGGCCTGTGAGGAGGTGGCCCTACCCACACCTTAATGGGAACTTCAGTTCCATTTTCCCTTCCCAGCAGTTTCTCCGTGCCTTCCCTCTACTATATTCCTGCTGTTCTTGGGGTGCTCCAGCTCCACTCCCTGACCCCTGCCCTCTGGCCCCTGTGCAGAGACCGCTTATGTGCTGGGGAACTATAAGACGGAGCCGTGCAAGAAGCCCCCGCGGCTGTGCCGCCAGGGCTATGCCTGTCCCTACTACCACAACAGCAAGGACCGGCGGCGGAGCCCCCGGAAGCACAAATACAGGTCCTTTGGCCCCAGGAGGCCAGCTATGGGAGGGAGGAGTGGCAGGGAAGGGATCTTGGCCAAGGCTACTACCACCATGATTCTCAGGGATTTGGGGAGGTGAGCGTAGGGGAGGTACCAAGGTCACAGAGCCTTGGTAGAAAGGTGGTGGTTGGGGGTGCTGACTAGGAAGGAGAACTGAGTGATGGGAGTCTTGTCCAACTCTTGCATGAATGAGGATCCTGATGAGACAGTTTGAGGGCTCTCCAGTTCTGGTCCTATAGGATATGTGCTGGAGCAGAGACAGGCCACAGTGTGGCAGGTAGAGGTGTGGCTGTGGCCTAACTGCTCTGGGCTGCTGTGGGCTTGATGCCTAGCTGAGGGGAGCAAAGCAGTGTCTTCATTGGTAATGTAGCCATCTGGGCTAGAGGAACAGCACACTTCTAGTCCTAGTTAGGCCCTCACTGTATACTAGTCTGTACACCATTTCCGTGCCTGCCCCCGTGAGGCAGAGAGACCAGATAGGGCCCTAAGCAGGGATCCAAGTGGCACTCTGCAGATCCCAGTGTCACCTTCTCTTACCTCTGTCTGACCCCCTTTCGTTGTACCAGGTCATCTCCATGTCCAAACGTCAAACATGGAGATGAGTGGGGAGACCCTGGCAAGTGTGAGAATGGAGATGCCTGCCAGTACTGCCACACCCGGACGGAGCAGCAGTTCCACCCAGAGGTGGGCCCTTAGGGTTGGGACTGGGGCCCTATGAGAGACTATGAGTGGCTAACATGTCCTCTTTGGGAAGCATGGAGAGAGGCAAGGAGAATGAGGGTGGGTGTTGGCGCCATCCTGAAAGAGGGCTTCCTGGGCAGTGCCTGGAAGAGCCACATCCCTCACTTTGCAACTTCTCTTGTTGTGAGTCCCCCACCCCATAGCCCTCTGCTTCTAGTTTGTTCCCCAGGGCATGGGCAGACCACGGTGGTCTGACCGTTCTGGACTTTGTACTGCTCCCCACCAGGATTTAAAAAATAAAAAAGCCCAGGCTGGCAGAGTGTCTCAAGTGGTAGAGTACCTGCTTAGCAAGTGCAAGGCCCTGAATTCAACCCCAAGTACCACAGATAATAAAATAGCCCCTTCCAGCTATCCTAATCAGAGTCTAGGGGATAGACAGCAACCTCTCTGACACAGTTCCTCAGCCCACATGAGCCATGTCAGTATGCCTGCATCTAGAGTAGCCTTATAAAGAGGCATATGCTGTCCTGTCCCTGGTTGGTTGGTTCCACAGAAGCCAGGCCACCCTGAGAAAGAGACATAGACAAGACTTCTTGTGGCAACAGATGTGGTGGAGAGAAAAGTTAGATCCAGTATGGATCCCAAGCCCAAGTTCCCTGGCAAGGGCTCGCTGGGCTCCCTGAGATCTCGGCTCACTTAATGCCCAGGAGGCACAGCCCTGGCCAAGATCATGAGTGGAACCACTCTCTTTGTCACGGCTGCTTGAACCTGTGATCCCAGAAGGAAGGGCATCAATGGCAGTGGGCTGACTTAGGAGTTTGAATAAGAAGTTGGTAGGGAGAATCCAAGTGTGGTAGTGCATGCCTGTAATCCCAGAATTTGGGAGGATGTGGTAGGAGGATTATAAATTCAAGGCCAGCCTGGGCTACATAGCAACACCTTGTCTGGGGAAACAAAAAAAAGTTGGTAGGGAGAGACTTAGAGACTTAGGAGGGGTATAATAGAAGGGACAGAGATGGGGCGGTGAGCGGGGATGCTAAATTAGCCCACCCTTACTGATGGAAAGATCACCTGCCTGGTACTTTTGTGGAGCCTGACCCATCTTTGCTCTACTCTGCCCTCCAGATTTACAAATCCACCAAGTGCAACGACATGCAGCAGTCAGGCAGCTGTCCCCGAGGACCTTTCTGCGCCTTTGCTCATGTAGAACGTATGCTATTCCCTTGCCCTGGGGCAGCACCCTCTCTCCTTCCCCTCCTCTAACCCTGCTGAGACTCAGGCAGGGGAGTGGGCCCTAGCAGTATGTCATGCACAAGAGCTTGTCTTCCAGTGGCCAGCCTTCTTCCCACTGGAAATTCCATTCCCCTTGCCTCTCTGGAACTGGCCTTGAAGCCCAAGGTCATGAGATAGAGACTGCAGTACTAGTCCCCTTGTCAGACACTCCCAGTCTCAAGCAAGGAGCAAGGTGAGGCACTACCTCTATATCGAACTTGGCAAATGCCACCAGCTACCTTGTGTCACTCAGGACACATATTACTAACGGAACATATTGTTCTTTCCTACTGAGCCCTGTTCAGGCCTCTAGAGTGGAGCTGTCCATTCAAAATATCATGTGACCCTCATATGTCATTTTAAAGTTTTTGGTAGCACACTAAAAAAAGCAAGGGAATTCCGGGTGCTGGTGGCTCACACTTGTAATCCTAGCTACTTGGGAGACTGAGACAGGGAGGATCAAGGTTTGAGGCCAGCCCAGGCAAATAATTCCTGAGTCCCTGTCTCCGTAATAACTGGAGCAAAATGAACTGGACGTGTAGCTCAAGCGGTAAAGTGCCTGCTTTGCAGACCTGAAGCTCTGAGTTCAAACTTCAGTCCCATTAGGAGGAAAAAAAAAAAAAAAAAAGCAAGGGTAATAGGTTAATTTTGACAGTATATTATTTATGTATTTTGTCTTTTCTTTTTTGGTGCTGGGATCGAACCCAGGGCCTCGCACATGCTAGGCAAGCACTGTACCACCGAGCTACATCCCAGCCCTATATTTTTTATTTAGCTCAATATATAATGGTCTCATTTCAGTAAGTAATTGATAGGAAAAACAATCAAGATATTTTACGTTGTTTTTGTACTAAGTGTTGGAGATCTGATAGGAATTTAACACAACACATTTCAGTTCAGATCAAGTGCTCAGTAGCCACAGGTGACTTTTGGCAAGACGGCATAGGTCTAGATCCTCAGTGTTACATCCAGGCCACCCTTTCTATTGCAGAGTGGGTGCTGGAGTTGACACCTCTTTCCGCTGCAGTTCACCATTCTGGTTCTCCTTAACCTCTTCTTAGGCTCAGTCTTGTCTCTGAGATTAGAGTAAAGAATAAACAGAGGGCCCTGGGAGGGAGAAGCATATGGGGGACACAGAGATAAGTCCCCATTGTAGGTACTGGGACCACCCTATTGAGACAGCACAGGGAAATGTTTAATAGTTCAAACTGTGGAGTCATACAGAATAGGGGCTCAAATCCCAGTGTTTCTCTCGTCTAGTTCTGATACGTTGGTAGATACAGCTAGCTTCCGAACCTCAGTTTCCTCCTCTATAAAATGGAGATTGTTATAGTCATCTGCATTCTATAGGCGTTATGGAGAATGACAATGCACAGTGCTGGTGCCGCACCTGGCTTGCAATAGGTGTGGAGGACATGATAAAAATAGGAATAAAGTAAAAACTAGCGGAATAATTCCTGTGAGGTATATAGGGGGATGTATGGTCTCCTTTAGAAGGTAACCAGGAGCATTTTTGGAGGGACCAAGGTGGCTTGGAAGCATCCTGACCCCTGTCCCCCTCTTGCAGAGCCACCCCTAAATGATGATCTGCAGCCTTCCTCAGCTGTATCCAGCCCCACCCAACCAGGTCCTGTCTTGTACATGCCATCTGCTGCCGGAGACTCAGTGCCTGTGAGCCCCTCCAGTCCGCATGCCCCTGACCTCAGCACTGTACGTGCCTGTCTTGGGGAATGGGTGGGCACCATGCCTGCCCAGGAGCCAGCTCCTGCCTGTCTCATGCCCCAGGCCCTGTTAGCCTGTGCTTGGGGAGGAGGCCCTGGTATTTGTCCTAGGACCAAGGGAATCTGCCTTTTCTGCCTCAAGGTTCTCTGTCAAAGTTGGAGTGTAATGTGTCTTCAGCCTGGGCAGAAAGCCTCTGTCAAAACCTCTGTCGCCCTCTCGCCTAATCCCTCACGAGGCTCAGAGGCCCCAAGTACTTGGTGCTGCCCCTTGCTGAAGCCTCCCTTGGGGCAGGTTGGAGGGTGGCTGTGCTCCTGCCTGAGTTGTACCCACTGGCCACCTGTCCTCTTCTGCAGCTCCTCTGTAGGAACAGCAGCCTGGGCAGCCCATCCCACCTCTGCGGCTCTCCACCAGGTCACAGCAGGAAGGCCCCAAACCTAGAGGGCCTTGTCTTCCCTGGGGAGTCTGGCCTCGCCCCTGGCAGCTACAAGAAAGCTCCTGGCTTTGAGAGGGAAGACCAGGTGGGAGCTGAGTACCTGAAAACTTTCAAGTGCCAGGTAAAGGATGAGAGCAGCAGCAGAGACAATTAACCCAGTGAGCTTAGCCTTCTCCTGCATGGGATGAGAGCACCTTGGAGGAGAGGCCTGGCGTGTCTGTGGGGAGGATGCTAGGAGCTAGGACTCAGCCTCTTCAGAACATCCTGTTTCCTGGCTGAGGACTGGAAGGCTGTGCAGCTGCCCTAGAGTCACAGAGCCAGGCAGTAGAGGAGCAGCCCTTACTCCACCCTGGACTAGGATTGCAGGGCTTAGAGAAGGAGCAGGAGTTTCTAGTGGCCTGGACACAAACTTCTGGGCTTATCTGAGGCTCTGAACCACCTGAGAGGAGAGAAGCAGTTCCCTGCTAGGATAGTAGGGTGGGGGAAGATGCAGGGGGAAAGGAGAAGGTATATGTGTGTGTGCAGAGGGGCTTGCATGGCAGGTGACCAGGTATCTGTCACAACCTGCTCCCTGTATATGCAGCCTCAGTGGGCCAAGGAGGATCAGATGAACTAGACTCAGAGCTCCATAGCACCATGTTCACCTTCTGCTCCCTGACTTTTCTCTCTCAGGCTAAACTAAAACCCCACTCACTAGAGCCCAGGAGTCAAGACCAGCCTCTACTTCAGCCCAAACAGGTACAGAGTTCTCATCCTCTTCCTAACTTTATTTTGCATCCACTGTGGATGAGACAGACCCAGAGCCCCAGTCAACTGCAGGGAGTAGGGCACCACTTTCCCCATAAACCAGATTAGGACAAAGCCCCAAATCCAGAGTGGTTGGGGGTCAGACCCTGGAGCTCCTCCTCTCCTTGACATGCTCACCCATCAGTCAGGAGTGTTCAGGGAGCATCTCATGATTTCAAGCTCTGTGCTCACTTCTCCCTTTCTCCACTACAAGCCTGCAGGGGTGAGTGGCCAGCAGCCTCTGAGTCTTATTGCTCCATCTCCAGTCTCTCAACACAGCGTGGGGAGTGCAGCCTGCCTGGGCCTGGGGTGGCTAACCAAGACTTGGGAGGTGCCTGTTCTATCCTTTGCAGTGGTCTCTGCCAGCAGGCATCCCATTGCCTCTCCTCATTCTCGTTGCAGGACGTGCTGGGCATCCTCCCTGTGGGCAGCCCCTTGACCTCAAGCATCTCTTCCAGTATCACCTCCAGCCTGGCAGCCACTCCCCCAAGCCCAGCAGGCACCAGCAGTGCTCCTGGCATGAATGCAAATGCTCTACCCTTCTACCCAACCAGTGACACGGTAGAGTCGGTCATAGGTAATTAGACCAGGTCTGTTTGTAAGTCCAGGACTGGGCCTGGAGTCAGAAGAACAAAGTCTCTGAACTGAGACTCAAATAAGCACATTAGACACCTTAGACATCTGGCTTAGGAGAGTCAGGGTAGACACTCTTGGCCCTTAGAGCTAAAGGGAAAATGAGCTCAAAATGTAGGGCCAAACCTAAGCCTTGGAACTCTTTTATGCAAGTGTGGTCTCACCCCATCACATCTTATGGAGTCTCTATTCATTCTCTCATTAGCATCATTCTTTCACTAGGCATCCTTGTGAGGTGAACAACCTGCACAGCCGTCCTTGGAGTGTCTGTAGACTGGGTGTGGCACAGTGTGGGAACATATTCTTACCATGTTCAATGCCCTGGGTTCAGTCCCCAGCCACAAAAAAGAAGTCACTGTCCCTTTTCCTCATCATTTAGGGTTGCCTACTTTGTGGTAGGTCCCAGGGCAGGCACTGGAGAAACAGATGATACTGTGCTATTCCCACCCTCTCTCCTACCAGTTCAGCAGAGGGCACTGACATTTGTACTGGCTATGAAGTGCCCAAAGACCTGCCCACCCATAGTAAGCTCAGGGTGAGACGTATATCCCATAAGACAGGGACCTTGGATTGGGTCTTTTTTGTTTTTTGAGATGGTGTCTCGCTATGTTGCCCAGGTTGGACTCAAATGAGATCTTCCTGCCTCATCCTCCTGAGTAGCTACGATTATAGGCTGCACTGCCATGCTCAGCTAGGGTTGATTCTTGATTCCTCCTGAGGGTATCAAAGAGGGCTTCAGAAAGGAGAGACACTTGGGCCAGATTTGGTAGATGGTCAGGATCAGTGTGGGTAGAGGGAGAGACAACCAGAGGTGTAGCAGGGGGAGGAAATGAGGTAGTCAAGTTCAGGAAGGTCCTGAATCCTGGGGCTTGGCCCTTGGGAGGCCCACATCCTAATCTCTGTCCCTAGAGTCTGCCTTGGATGACCTGGACCTGAACGAGTTTGGGTGGCCGCCCTGGAGAAGACTTTCGATAATAGCACAGTGCCCCACCCTGGCAGCATTACAATCGGTACTGGGGAGTGGGCAGGCAGGGTGGTCTGGAGGGTGCCTTGGAGTCCCGCTGGCCTGGGTCCCCTGCCCAATGTGGCCCAAATGGCTTGCCTAGCCCTCACCAAGCCTCCCTCTGGGGCCTGTCTTGCAGGTGGCAGTTTGCTTCAGAGCTCTGCACCCGTGAACATTCCTGGCTCCTTGGGCAGCTCAGCCTCCTTCCACTCTGCCTCCCCATCCCCTCCTGTCAGCCTCTCCTCACATTTCTTGCAGCAGCCCCAGGGCCACCTGAGCCAGTCAGAAAACACATTTTTAGGAACCTCAGCATCACATGGATCTTTGGGTAAGGCGGGAACCTGGTGCCTTTTAGAAAATGTCTTAGCTACTCTGTCCATGGCATGTCACCCAAGCTAGAGATTAGCACAGGGGCTTTTGGCTGAGAGCCTCTTCTACTCCTACTTGTATGACTGTGGACAAGTGAGTTAACCTCTGCCTTAGCTTCCTGTGCTATGGAATAGGTGCAGCTGTTGTGGGGATTAAATGAAATGCCATGAGGGAAGCACTAGGACAGCCAAGGTAGCGAGAAGCTGTGGTCTGAGTCTACAGAGCTGAGGCCTGGTCTTCAGTGCAGTTTTGCCCAGTCAGATACAAACCAAATAAGGGCTGGGGGTATAGCTCAGTGGTAAAGTGCTTGCCTAGCATGCACCAGGCCCTGGGTTTGAGCCCCAACACTTATAAAAAGAAAAAAAATTCATAGTCACCTAGAGCTCCTAGAGGCTGGTCACACCAACCAGGATCACAGGAGACCAAGGGAGTAGTTGGAGCAGGCCCACCCAGGCTCAGGTTGCCCTTTCTGACAGGCAGAGGCATAGGGAGACTCAGATGTAGCCTAGATAGCTGTTCGCCTAGCCTAACATTGGAATTGAGGGTAGTAGGGCCCCAAGAGGCTCTCAAGGTTCCAAGGTTAGAAGCAAACTATGGAGCTTCACAGCCCTGCCACCATGGCCAGGGATGTGCCTCCTCAAATGGGGACCGTGGAAATGTTCCCTGAGGTAATGGATTTATAGTCTTCAGTGTGGTACCTCCCAATGAACATGGAACATTGGCCCCTCCTCCCACTCCCCCCATCAGCTATTCAAAAACCCCTTCCCCTCAGGGTACTGAGCCTCCAGTCAACTGGAGGCACTGAGAACCTTTGAAGTTCAGGTGTGGTGGCTTCCCTCACTGTCATCCCTGGGGGTTTGCAACACCTCCCCAATTTAGCAGAGGCTGTTCTCTGGTGTGGATTGTGTCCACTTAGATACTAATGTTACATCTTCCTGACTTGTTCATTTTCTGGAAGCATCTTGATTCAGCCCTGCTTACTAGCCCCTCAGATCCCTTCACCAGGGGTCCTTGAGTATAGTCATAGATGCCAAGTGTTGACCCATCAGGCCTTGCCATCATGACTGGGCAAGGGTGCTCAAACTGGGATTCAATTTAGAGTGTGACGGGAGCTAACCTGCATGGGGCAGTTGAGAGGACATGTGCTCTCTAAGGAGCACAAGAGAGTAATTGCTACCTGCATAAGGAGGGCAGAGGTGCAGATGGACAAAGCCTGCTGCTAGGCCAATCTCTGTCAGTGCTGTAGTCTAGAGGTCCTGCTTAGGATCGGGAGCTCCACGGGACAGTACACCTCTGCTCTCAGTGCACTTGTTTAGCTCAGAGGGCAGAAAGTCTGAAATATGGTTGTTGAACTTCTTGACTGAATTACTGGGAAAGGAAGCAAGGAAAGTCACTAGACTAGTATGTGTGGGCAGAAGGCTTCCAGAGATGGGTATGGGAACTTCATGAAGACAGGGGCTGTCCTGGGGCCAGAGCATATTGGTTAAGTGAGAGGGCAGGTGAGTGGCAGTTTCACTTACCAGGAAGAACAAGCCTTTGGAACCAGATGCTGTGGCTATATCCTGCTGCACCACTCTGAGTTCATGTGATTCTTGGTTGCACGTTCTGTCTTAGTGTTTCGTCTATAAAGCAAGGAAGGACCCAAGGTTCCGCAGCAACTCCTGCTTCAGCCTTTCCATCAAAGGCCCTGGCTGGTGACTTTTCTCCTGTATCTCTTCCTTCTGATCTTGCCAGTTAGGACCCTCCCCAGCCTTACACTGGATGCAACAAGGATCTCTGAGCTTTAGTTGAACAGTAAAGTCATCTTCACAAATTGCCCCCAGCAGGGGCCTTCAGACTGCTGTCCTATGTGATACTTCCTGAGTCCTCTGAGTTCCTCTGTGAGGCCAGTAATGGGAGCCCATTTTACAGATGATGCTGAGGGTCACAACCTAAGTGGCAACTACTATGTAGCAGGTAGCACTAAAGTTTAAGTCTGACTTAGCCAGGGTACCTTCACGGCCTGCTCTTCTGTCCCTGCTAAGTGCTCCAGCCCGATGTGGGGTACAACCTCCCAGGGTTCAATCAGCCCCTGGAAGGCCCAGGCAGACAGGGCTGGCCAAGCCCTCCACAGCTGATGTTCCTCCCCTCCCTGGGGCAGGTCTGAACGGGATGAACAGCAGCATCTGGGAGCATTTTGCCTCTGGAAACTTCTCCCCAGGCACTTCCCCTGCCTTCCTGTCAGGGCCAGGGGCTGCTGAACTGGCCCGGCTTCGTCAAGAGCTAGATGAAGCTAACGGCACCATCAAGCAGTGGGAGGAGTCCTGGAAGCAGGCCAAGCAGGTACTGGGCCCCACGCCCACCTGCCGTCCCCAGTGCCTGGTGGCATCCAGCCCTAGCCCAGCCTACACAGAGTGGGCATGGTGGGGGGAGGGAGGGGAAGCAGAGGCCTGAAGAACAGAGCAGAAACTTTTGTTTAACTTCTCCCCTCATAGGAGGACTGGCCTTGCCAATCAGGCTGGTGCCATAGGTCTGGAACTCCCTCTGGGAGCTGATTGTATAGTTTAGTGACAGGACCACTTACTTCTTCCTGGAAGCCTGGACTCTTTGGGGTTCTAGGTTCCAAGTTGGGCCCTTTGTCCAGTTATAGCCCACCTGCCTCTGGGGGGTGCTGGCCAGGATATGAGCCCTGTGTTGTCTCCTGCCATGCTAGGCTCTGCCCCCTTCCCTGTCCACAGAGGGAGGGTCTCCTGCAGATCCTGAAACCTCTCTCCTCTGCAGGCAGCATCAGTCTCTTCCCTGCCCCCTCCCCAGACAGCAGGCCCAGCTTCCCAGCAGGCCTGGCAGCCAGAGTCACCCACACAGGCTCCCGGAGATGCTCTCTGGGGGGGGCAAGGGGGAAGGGGCAGGGAGCCATCGTGATGAAGCGCTGCGTGTTGGGCCCACAGGCTTGTGATGCCTGGAAGAAAGAGGCGGAGGAGGCTGGTGAGCGGGCCAGTGCAGCAGGTGCCGAGTGCGAGATGGCCCGGGAGCAGCGAGATGCACTAGAGGTGCAGGTGAAGAAGCTCCAGGAAGAGCTGGAGCGGCTGCATGCGGGGCCTGATACTCCAGCCCTGCCCACCTTCCCTGATCTGGAGGCGCTTTCACTCTCCACCCTCTACTCCCTCCAGAAGCAGCTGCGGGCCCACCTGGAACAAGTAGATAAGGTTAGCCCCAGAGGTCAGGGAGCACGGAGTGGGGGTGCACAGTGGCCTCAGCCAGCACTTGGACCCTCTTGAGAATCTGTGCTCAGCACTGGACCATTACTCACAATATCTCAGCCTGCTGGGAAGGTGAGAAATCCTGGGGCAACAGGGCAGTAGTGCCCACTAAGCTGCAGCCTTGTCCCTGTGCACTAAGTGGCTCTCCGTGTACCAGCAGACATTGCAGAGTGGTCCAGGCCCTCAGGGGTGCCGATTTGCATTCTTACCTATCTTGCTGGGTTTCCAGTGGTGGCATGGCCCCAATGGGAATGGCATTTTGTTCCATTTACATGTGACATCTCTAAGCCTCATTTTTCTCACTTGGAGACCTAAAGTTTCTGTAAGATCAAATGGGACAAGAGGTGTTAACAAATCCTCAAGGGATGGGGGGAGTGCTCCTGCCCAGCCAGTGCAGCTGGTCATGGCAAGCAGAGCCTGGAGCTGAGCAGCCTGAACTCTACCTCTGCTCCCACTTTCCACCAGGGTCCTGTGAGAACACTGTTGAGCTCTGTGCCTTGGTTTCCTCTTCCAAAGGGGACTGAAGTGAGAAGCAAGGGAGCTTCTTGCTTAACTTGGGGCCAGGCTGACAGCAGAGACCATGCTTGTGACCAGATGTCACTTTCCTTGCAGGCCCTGTTCCATATGCAGTCGGTGAAATGCCTTAAGTGTCAGGAGCAGACCCGAGCAGTGCTGCCATGCCAACACGCTGTGCTGTGTGAGCTCTGTGCCGAGGGCAGTGAGTGCCCTGTCTGCCAGCCCAGCAGGGCCCATACCCTCCAGTCGTGACCCTGCAGACCTGGCCCAGCTGGGTCTGAATCTTCTAACCTAGGACTTTTTATATGTATGTATGTATGTATGTATGTATGTATATGTATATGATTATGTACATGTATACATTTCTGTATGTGTGCAAGTGTGCGTGGTGGCCAGCGTGTGCACAGTGTCTGTGTGTATATCTGTACATAGATATAGACACACACTTTAAAACAGACTTACCAAGCACTTTTTTTAAAAAAAAGACTATTTTGCAGTCCTCCCCTGCCCACTCCCCACCCTTCCCGCTCAGAGACAAAGTCCCTCTTTTCCTCCTGACCTTTTGGCAGAGAATCTATTTCTGTCTCTTTTTTATGTAGGAACTAACTATTTTTAACTTCTTCCTGGGGCCTGAGCAGGGAAGAGGGGACTGAGGGGAGGGAGAAGACTTCAGGGCATGTCCTGCTCACCTGCTACTCCAGGGCCAGGGCTGGCATCAAGGTGTGGAGGTTTCAGATCCCCCAGTTCTAGCTGTGAGGGCCTCAGGGAGGCCTGAGGGTGTGCTGGGGGTCTAAGCCAACCTAGCTTCTAGGTTTACCAATGTGTATTTAGTTCTGGGGACAGCAGTAGGAGCTGGCAGGCCAAAGCTGCAAGGGTCAGCCTCATTCCCATACCTGGGCCCTTGAAACCCCTCAAGGGGCAAGGCTCAGTTTTATCCCTCAGGTTCTTTAGGCCTGGGATCCCCTTAAATCCTTTCCTCCTGGACTCCACAGAACAGCCTCCCTGGACCCAGGCTGGCACTACCCTCATCTGTTCCTGCCCCCTCCCTCTTATGTGGCTCCCATGCCGACTGCCCCCCTCCCTCTGGCAGCTAGCAGGGCAATTGTTGGGGAGGAGTGCGGCCTAATGACCAAGGGGGCACAGGCCCTGCCCTCCTTGCCAAGGAGGGGCTCCGTACGCATTCCTTGGTGCTCTCAGTGCAGCTGACGTCCTGTCATTCTTTGCAGGCGCCTGTGTGCATGTGTGTGTGTGCCTGTTCAGTGTATATTGTGTCTTAGCTTCAGTTTTAAAAATTGTTCTGTACAGAGCGATGCAGTGGGGCGGGAGGGCAGAAGGAAGCAACTTTGCTCCCAGCACTGGGTGTCAGGCGGGCTTGAGAGGGCTGTATAGGGTCTGCCCTGATCCAGAGAGCCCCCTTGGGCTCAGCACGAAAGGGCTTTCAATGAATTAAGTGAAAACTTTCTCCTTTTTTACAAAAATGCAAAAAATCAACAAAGCAAACCTATTGGAAATAAAATATGAACTTGGAATGGTAATTTGTTTACATTGGGGAGTGGACTCCCTAATGAGGGCCTCCAAACTGCTAGGTGCTGTGGAAACAGCTGGTGCCCATACCCTGTGGTGTGAGATCCAAAGGCAGCTCAAGTGCCCTCTGGGATCAACACGATGGGGACCTTTAGTCTTGGACACAGAGACCTCCCACCCAGACCCTGTGACTGTTGTGTTCAGGGCTTTGTCCTCAGCCATGAGTGGTTTTCTTATTCATGTTTCCCAAAAGTCAACAAGGCCCCTAATTGCTTCTCAAAGGAACAGACAATGCATTCCCATATGGATGGTTTACATAAAAGCATAAAAACAATGAAGGGAGCCAGGGGTGGTGGCTCACCCCTGTAATCCTAGCTACTCAGGATACAGAGATAGGAGGATCAGGGTTCAAAGCCAGCCCAGCAAACAGTTCGAGAGACCCTATCTTGGAAATGCCCAACACTAAAAAGGGCAAGTAGAGTGGTTTCAAGTGGTGGAGCCCCTGCCTAGCAAGCATAAAACCCTGAGTTCAAACCCCAGCACCGCCAAAAAAAAGGATCTGAGGCAGTACCTTACCTTCCTCCTGCCTTACCCTTCTCCCTACCCAGCTATGTGTTGGGGGTAAGAAAACACTAGAGCGGAAGTCTCTGCCTGGGCTTGAGGCTAGAGCTGCCCATCTCTGGCTTCTGTCAGTCAACCCGTGCAACCTCAAAGGTTAAGTGACTTCATTAGGATCACAGCTAGAGCTACCACTAGTCCTTGGGCTCGGCCTCACAATTGTCTCACCAGGCCCCTGTCCTGAGCAACTACCATACTAAATTATGTGCCATCCATTCAGTAATGGTCAAAACACTAGTAATGCTGGCCACCCCTGCCACTGCTCTTGGAGCAGTCCCCCACAACCACCTCCCTGGAGCACAGGGGTTCCAAGATGGGGGCACTCAAAGTCTCCTGAGGGCTGGGAAGGAGGCTGCATAACCTGAGGAACCTTCAGGGGCCCACTGTGAGCCAACAATAGATTTTCTCAGAGGACTGTGGATAATTTTTTATTTTTGCTAAGAATATTTCTAGGTTGCAGGTGCTGTTTGAAGGAGGAGATGTTCTCAGCAGACACAGCCAAACTGTCCTTTCTGCTGCTATCCCTTTGTGCCAGCCCTGCCGCCTGCCCGCTCTCACCCTAGAGCCAAAGTCCCTCATTATAGGTATCCTCTAGTAATGGCCCTCCTTTCCCAGGGCAGCTTTGGTAGAGTCCCCTCTCCCTACCAGAGCTCTATGTCCACAGCCCCTGTGTCTCAATATCCTGGCTTTACACCCCAGTGCTGGAACAGGCAGGCTGAGAGACATGGTTCTAGACCACACTGCGCTGGAGCAGCTTTTCCAGGTGGAACAGAGGCACTGTGTTGGGAGACAGCAGACAACGTGGAGGCCAGGGCTCAAAGGAGGGAGAAGGGAGTATAAATGTTAAAGATGTCCCATCACTGTGGGCCCCTGCTCTTGCGGGAGCCTGGAGGAGGGTCTGTCTTCTGGGCTCTCCATCTGCTGGGGCTTCCCAAGCATTAGGCCAGGCTGAAGGGCTGCACTGTGGTGGGGAAGACCCTGATCTTTCAGGATCCCACCAGAAACTAGCCCCTCTTCAAGCCTCCACTGCTATCGCCCTGGCCGAGGGGCATGCTGAGAGGCCTGCTTGGCTCGCTGCCTCCGCAGCTTCACAAAAGCCTGGGCCTCACGATCACCCTTCCGGCTCTCCAACAGTTGCAGAATTGGATCCCCTGTGGAGAGAAGGGTTTGAGGGAGACACAGCACTGCCCCACCCCACCCCCAGCCTGGAAGGAAACCAGTGGACACACCAGCCAGAAGCACAGGCTATGGGTGGGGTGCTGTTGGCTCCTATAGTTACTTGGGAAGCTCAGATCAGGAGGATTGTGGTTCCAGACCAGCCTGGGCAAAAAAAGTTTGCAAGTCTGTATTTCAACAGGAAAAAGCTAAGTGTGGTGGTAACATGCCTGTCATCCCAGCCATAGTGGGAAGCCTAAAATAGGAGGGTCATGGTCCAGGCCAGCCAGGACAAAAAGTGAGACCCTATCTCCAAAATAACCACAGCAAAAAAAAAAAAAAAAAAAAACAGTATAAGACACAGCCTGACAGACTAGAAGCATAACAGGTGCTGCACGAAAACACCTGAGTTGTGACTACTGCTTTTCTACGAGAACCTGAACCTAGCTTAGTTAACTCTTCCGGCCTCAACTACTCATCTTTAAAACCGTGCTAATAATGTTAGTCTCACTGAAGAGCCATAGGAATTAGAGGAGTTTTAGCCAGGCACTGGTGGCTCACGCCTATAATCCTAACTCAGGAGGGAGAGATCAGGAGGGTAGCAGTTTGAAGCCGGCCCCAGGCAAATAGTTCTCGAGACCCTACCTCAAAAAAACCCATCACAAAAACGGTTGGTGGGGTGGCTCAAGTTGTAGGCCCTGAGTTCAAGCCCCAGTACTGCAAAAAAAAAAAGTTTTAATACAGGTAGACTGCTTAGACTGGCTCCTAATACACGAACAGGAGAACCCATGCTGTTACCAAGCTTATCGATGCTTTGCAGGCATGCCCCCTGCTCGAAGTGCCAGGCTCCTCTTCCCAGGGAAACTCCTTAGTGACCTTCCCCACCAAGAGTTTCATAACTTCTCACCAAGCTTAGATTTCACAGGTCTCTACTGGATCAAGGAATGGTTCCTCAGCAACACGAGCCCCCCATCTCCCAAGGTGGCATCTTTGGGGTCCCTGCCTGAGTTTCCCAGCACCACATCCTTGCCTTGCCCTGAGACTCAGGCCTACCATTGGGTGCAGGATACGTGAGAGGTAGGCGGATCTGAGGTGCCTCGCCAGGCTCCTCGCAGCCCATCATCCCAGGCACGGTGCACAGTGGCAGGAAGGCCTCCCCTTCCAGGTCATTGGCTCCCAGCGTGTCATGGTCCAGCACGGTGAGCAGGAGGCATGCCCCGTCCTTGGTGCATGGCTCAGCAGGCACCAGGCTGGTGGGGATAGTCAGGCTCAGACTCCTGCCCAGAAGTCTGCTCCAACACATGGGTCACCCCCTTGTTATTGAGGACAGGCATGTTATAAAGTCAGCTCTCAGTCTAGTGTATCAGAGTCAAATGGTATAACATCTGCTGTGGCCCTGGGCCACAGAGAACAGGTCCCTGGGGACCTCAGGGACAGGACCATTCCCTGGAAGCCTCTGAATTCAATATGTGGAATCCACCCCTTTCCCCCAGGAGAATCAAATTCTTGTCCCAGGTGTCCTTTCTCACAAGCCAATGTGGTCAACTCAGGGGCTCCTTGGGGGAGAGAGAAAAGGGAGAGGAGTTGGCACAAGAGTAGGGACCCACTCACAATTCAAAAGTCTCGTCAAATAGTGGGTGAAGGTCCTTCTTGTGTTTCTGAGTCTCCCGGGGGGCCAGGTCGGGGAACTCATGCCTGGGCTCCAAGGTCAGCTGGACAAAGGGATCACTGGAGCCTGACAAATGGCCCAGGAGAGGGGACGTTGGTTGAGTTCTCCCAGCCACTCCCACAACTGAGCCACTCATCAGCACAGCTCCCTCGAGGTGAACAGCACAGCTGCACCCAGCCTAGGGGCACTGTGGGGAGAACCAAGGAAGAGACTTGGGGAGTAGCCAATGAGCAGCTTCCCCTCACCATTGGAGTCTAGGGGCAACAGGCTGGAGGCGCTGAGCAGCTCCACGTGCAGCTTCTGCTCAGAGGTGCGGTAGGAGGCTTTGACCGTGACAGCGCCCAGGTCCTCAGAGGTGGTTTCTGCCTGGTGTGGGGAATTCATGCAGGTCAGCTGGGGGAGAGCAGGGCAAGGACTCCTGCAGGCTCCAGGAGCAGAAGGGAACCTTACCTGCTGCCGGATGCGACTGCAGAAGTACTTCTGGATGAGCTCCTGGCTGGAGGCTGCTTGGAGCTCCAGGTCCCTCTGCAGAGCCTGGAATGTCACAACCAAGAACCCCCTGAACACCACAGCCAACTCAGCCAGCAATGCTGCCAGGCTCACAGCAAGTGTGAGACATGGCTTTGAAAAGAGATGGGACTCATGGGACTGCATCCTCAGCAGCGCCTAGCAGACACTGGGACAGAGGCACAGACAGCTGGCTTCATGGGGCATGCCGCTCCTCCCTCCACCACCACCACGAAGGCACACAAGACCCCTGTGCTTTGAAGCATCCTACAGATGGGTTACTGCTCTATGCCACCATATTAAAATTCGCAATTTTAAATAAGGGCCTACCTTTTCATTTTACACTGGGGCCCATGAACTATATAACTGGTCCTGGACACAGCACAGAAAGGCAGCTTCCCTCACCAGGTCTTACCCAGGATTTCACCAAAAGACCCCTACCTGGAAGGTGGCTGTGTGAAGGGCCTCCAGTGGCAGACCACGCCCATCAGCATGGAAGGAGATCTCCAGGCTCTGGAGGAGACAGCAAAGGTGACCCAGGCCTGCTATCCCAGGGTTACCATTCTTACGGCTAGCGTTATTACCTGCAGGGCCACCTTCAGCCTGTTAGAGGCCAGGCACGAGCTACGTTGGGAAGCGGCCACCTCCACCAGCACCGTGAGCGTATGAGTCCAGAGCAGGGTCAGAAGGCTGGCCAAGGGCAGAGGCATGCCGAACACGAGACAGGATGAGGAGTAGGAGAAAGCAAAAGAAACTCTTGAGTAAGGAGAGGTTCCTGCTGGAACCCCAACAAACCACAAAAGAGTGGAGAGAGAGGCTCAACACCAATGTCCAAATCATGATTGAAGATGGAGCAGCCAGCTTGGCATGGTGGTACATGCCTGTAATCCCAGCACTTAGGAGGCAGAGACAGGAGGAACCCCAACTCAAAATCAGTCTGGGTTACATAGTGAGACCCTGTCTCAAAAAAAACAAAATAAGCCAGGTGCTGGTGGCTCATACCTGTAATCCTAGCTACACAGGAGGCAGAGATCAGGAGGATCGTAGTTTGAAGCCAGCTTGGGCAAATAGTTTGCGAAACCCTATCTTGAAAAAACCCTTCACAAAAAAATAGGGCTGGTGGAGTGGCTCAAGGTAAAGGCCCTGAGTTCGAGCCCCAGTTCCTAAGAAATAAAGAAATCCAGTTCCCAGGGGCCCTGTTTGCCGTTCAGGGGGAGAACAGAACTGAGGGGCTTAAGAGGGAGGAGAAGCAGTCAGAGAGGCCCTGAAGATGGGCCCAGTACTGAGGGAGAATGGACGGGCAGATGTCCACTCAGCCTATAGAAGAATTTGCGATGCCAAGGGCTGGGCAGTGTGAAATGGATGGGCAGGTAAAGGTACTGAGCTCTCTGCTCCTTGGAGCAAGCATTGGAGCAGAGGCTGGTGGCACCCTCTAAGGGAGGTCACCAAAAGGGTTCACAACATGCTCCCTGATGGATACTGAGGCTTTGAACAGGTAGGAAGTGGGGGTCCCCCGCAGGGCAGTGTTGTGCAGACCTGCTGAAGTTCTCCTGCACCAGGTTGGTGTTCATGTACCAAAGCTTCACCTCCAGGAACTTCATCAGAGGCAGAATGGCCTGAGAAGGGGGGTGAGGAGCACGTCTGGCTCAAGCCCATCTAGGTCCCATCCCCATTCCCTGGTTCTAACCCTGAGGGAGGGAACAGGGCTAGCTGCTTTTGTGTGCATGGTGTGTGATGTCTGCAGGACCTGGCCCTACCCACCTTCAGGCCACCTCTCCCAATTGCTCTGTCTGTTCCAGCCACAGTGGCCTCCTCTCTATCCTGTGAACCTACCAGGCAGGTTGCTGCCTTAGGACCTTTGCTTCCCCTGCCTGGCATGCTCTTCCTCTAGAAATCCTCATAGCTCCTTCCCTTGCTTCCTGTAGCTCTTGACTCAGTTGTCACCCTCTGAATAAGGCCTTCTGTGTTTTTACTTTTATTTTGGCAGTAGTACTGGGGTTTGAACTCAGGGCCTCATGCTTGCTAGGCAGGCACTCTACCACTTGAGCCACTCCCCCAGCCCTGACTAAGGCCTTTTCTGGTGGCGATCTAAAAATATGATCCTTTCACACTTCCCACCCCTCTCTCTTTTCTGTTTTCTTTTTCCCTTGAGCACGTATGAGCTAACACAATATAAAAATGTGTGTGCACGCACGTGCATCTGGTTGTGTGTTTATAGTTAAAGCTGTAATTATAATATATGTGCTGGGCTCTTTCACTTCTGCCACTAGAGTAGCATAAGTTCTAGAAAAGCAGAAATTTTTGTCATGCTGTTCATTAATGTACCTCAGTGCAAAATCAGTGTAGGTATGTATCACTCTCCCCCTCACAGCTGAAGTGAATGAGGTCAGAGGACTGGACTAAACAGGAAAGCAAAGCCAGTAGGCACTAAGAAGGATGTGTGTGCCCTCACCTCCCTGTGGCAGCTCCACACTCCCCAGCAGCACTGAGCGAGCCTATGCCCCTCTGAGCATCCAAAGAAGAAACTGAGGCCCAGGGAGACAACACACCTGGCCTGAGTTTGGGGGACTGTTACCTGTCACCCCCAGCAAAGCCTTCAGCCTCCTGCCCACCCTCAGCACCCTTCATGACCCCAGGCCCACGGAGCTGGCAGGGCAGTGAAGGTCAGCAGGCAGGAGTTACTCACATCATCAGTTAGAACCGACTCTCTGACACTCACGAGTTTCTGGATGTGCTTGGCAATGCCTGCCTCCAGCTAGGGACACAAAGCAGAGGGAGGTCAGGAAACGAGTGTGTGTGGTGGGGGGGAAGTCTGAAGAGTTCACTGGGGGCCTGATTTTCTGTTTAGAAGAGGGGGGGGTGGACATCAGCCCAGGGCCTACTGTGGTGGGGGGGGCAGGGCAAGGTCACTGTAGGCTCAGACAATGTACCTGCTCAGCCAGGGTGCGTACACCAGTGCGGATCTCGTGCCCAGACCAGCCAGTGCACCCTGCAGCTGGGCATGTAGTGTGTTTTGCAGCTGCCCCTGCTCCAGCCCAGCCCCGACACGCTGCTCCAGGGCCTCCCAAGCCAGCTGGGTGGGCAGCTTGCCGATCACCAGCCGCAGCTGCTCCATGTCATTCACCACCACACACAGCTGGGGGGCAGCAGGGCAGAGGAATGCAGGACTTCCTAAACAGTGCCAGCACCCCCACCCTGGCCAGCTCCCCAATCCCCAGCTCTGGCCCTTACCATGTCGGCTGCCTGGCCCTGGTCCTTCTGGCCTGCAGAAAGCTCTCGGGCCCGGGCCTTTATAAGGCTGCAGTACACCAGGGCCAGCCTACAGGTGTCCTGGGTTGAGGCACAGGGATCAGAGGGAATTGATAATGGGAAGGGTTCCCAGAAAGGCTCAGTAGGGGGACAGGGACTTAGGGGGACTTAGGAAGTAGGCCTTGGGAGGCTGCAAGTAGGAGAGCCTGGGAGAAACTGGGCAGTTGGGAGTGAGGCTGGCCTAGAAAGTGGGAAGGATGCAGGGGACGATGCTGCACCTCGACGAATTTGACTGTGATCATGAAGGCCTCCTCTGGGTCTGGCCAGTCCAGCTGCTGGGCAGTGTGGCTGATCTGGGCGAAGCAGGTAGACAGATCCACAGCTGAAGTGCTATGCTTGATCAGTTCACCCAGGGGCACCAGCTGGGGGAAGGGAGGAGCACTTAGAAAGGTCTCAGGGCTGGGTGTGGTGGCTCACATCCATAATCCCAGCTACTTGGGAGGCTATAAGCACAAGTATCAAGATCTGAGACCAGCCTGGTCTGAGGCTAGCCCTGGGCAAAAGTGTGAGACCCTACTTGAAATGTCACCAAAGCAAAACACAAACAAACAAAAAGGCTAGTGCTGGGTATACCTGTGGCTCACACCTGTAATTTCAGGAGGCAGAGATTAGTAGGATCACAGTTCAAAGCCAGCCAGGGCAAATAGTTTGTGAGACCCTATCTTGAAAATACCCAGCACAAAAAAATAAGAGCTGGTGGTGTGGTTCAAGTGGTAGAGCGCCTGCCTAGCAAGCATGAGGCCCTGAGTTCAAACCCCAGGACAATAAAGAGAAGAAAGGAAGGAAGGTAGGAAAGAAGGAAAGAGGGCTAAGGACATGGACAAATCCATCCCCCAGTGCCAAGCACAGAGCTGGGCAGGGGACTACAGGGAGGACAAGCAAGGCTCTGCCCAGACCCCTAGCTTGCAGGGTCCCTAGGCAAAGGGAAGCCACAGGTAGCTCCGGGATATTAGGAGGCCATGTTTTACACACGACTGGCCTGAAGAGCACCCTGAGAGGATGTCCAGAGTAGATCACAAGCTTCTATCAGCCCGGAGGCCTCCGTAGAGTCCTCAGCCCCACTCCCAAGCCGAGGGCCCTACCCCCACCTTGTCCATCTGCACAGCACGCTGTACTCTCTCCAGAGCCACACTGTACGTCTTCTGCAGCCAGGAGGGGATGGCTGGCTGGAACCAACGGTGGAAACCATCCAGGGCCAGGATTCCATCCCTGGGGAAAGCCAGGGCTCACACTGGGGAAGGCTGGGCACAGGGGACAGCCGCAGGCACAGTTCTTTGACTCCCCTCTATCCTGCATGTCTGCAACCCACCTCAATCGGCCTGCTGCTCACCTCTCTGAGGGGACTGGGCCCAGCTGGCAGAGCTCCTTAAGGCTGATGTAGAGCTGGAACAAACTCTCGCCCATCTCTGGGGATACAGGGGTGCCCACTGTCACTGTGTGATCCTGCACCCGCTTGGCCACCTGCAAGGAAAGTTCGATAGGCAGGGCCATGGAGGTGGGCAGAGGGATGTGGCCTGGGGAAGGCAGAGGGCCTCACCAGCCACTGCAGCTCCAGGAAAGCCATGGGGAAGAGGTCGATCTTGAGGACACTGGAGGAAAGGCAGCAGGTGTGACCCAGTGGCGCGCATCAGGGTCCCTTGGGTCCACCACCTCCCGACCTGCGTGTGCTCACTTGTGGAAGATCTTGTTCCATGTGCGCTGGCACTGATGCAGGTCGCACAGGACATCCTGTACCAGGCTCAGCAAGGCCTTGCCTGCCTCCAGCACACCCTGGCAGGAACACGGGTGGGCTGAGTAGGGCTGCAGGGGCAAGCAGCCCCCCCCACTCAGCCCCAGCCCCTTACCTGCACCATGGGCTGATGGTGCTGCTGCTTCAGGTGGAACCATTCGACTGTGCCAGTCTGTCAGTAGAGAGACAATGAGGAGGGAGGGGTTGCTGGACCCAGGCACGAGTCCTCCCCCGCCCCAGGGCAGTGCCTACCCGCAGGGCCTCGGTCACCAGCTGGGGCAGTGGGGCACTGTCGGGGCACAGTTCTCTGAAGGCCTTCATCTTGCACATCTGTACGAGGACCCTGGGAGACAGAAGTTGCGCCCCACTTTTTTTTTTTTTATGGTACTGGGATTTGAGCCACTCTACCACTCCACCAGTCCTTTTTTTGTGATGAGTTTTTTCAGGATGGGGTCTTGCGAATTATTTGCTCGGGCTGGCTTCAAACTGCAATCTTCCTGATAACTGTCTCCCGAGTAGCTAGGATTATAGGCGTGAGCCACCATTGCCCAGCTTGTGCCATCACTCCTTCAGTAAGCCTCTCCACCCCTGCGGGTACCCCCTGCATCTGGCCCCTGGCCCCTGCAGAACCAGAAGGGTTGTTACTGACCTGAGGAGAGACTGCAGCCGGGCTGGAGAGTCAGAGACAGAAAGGGGAAAGACAGAGCGGAACCTCCGGATGAGGGAGAGGCCGTAGGCAAGCAAGGAGGTGAATGAGGTGGCTAGCTCCTCCAACTGCAAAGCCAGGAAGATGTCTCAAGGTGGGAGCCGCTGTGGTCCCAGCTTCCCCTGCTCTCCTGCTCCTCCTGGAGCCCACCCTACCTACCTGCTCTACCTTGAGCCGACCCTGGACCCACTGGTACTCCATGCTGGTGATGGGGTGCAGGAGGCAGTTGCTGGGGAACTCCAAGCTCTGATAGAGGCGGCTGTAAGCCAGCCACTGCCTGCCAGGACAAGAAGCCCTCCGGGTCCCTCCTAGGCCCAGCCCCTCCCCTGCTCCAAAGTCTCCCACCAGAGCCCCATTGACCAGCAGAGGCTAAAACTAGGACTGAAAGTAACTTGCAGAATTTTGTTGGTCTCCACAGATGCTTTTTCAATCACCCATCTCTTAAGTTGGGCTATTTGTGATGCTATAACTCCAGGCTTTCTTGCTTCTTTTGACAAGTCAGATTGAGAGGCTTGAGCCTTCCCGTACACAAGACTACATCAGCTGGGACTTCCCTTAGATGGTTTGGAGGCCCATCACACCACTGTCTTCTCCCAGCCTCCTTCTGCCTCCCCAAGCCTCTGGCCAGGTGCCAGGCAGCATTCTGCTTGCCTTCCTCCCCGTGGCCAGCACCCTAGGTGTGGCTCCACTTTTGTAGTCCTTACAGGCACTGGAATGTCTGTGACTCCCCGTGTGCCCTTTCCTGGCACTCTCAGAATCTGGCATGGTCCTGGAGATGTGATAGACCCTCAGCGAAGATTTGTTCATGTCAGTTAATGTTTGTTAATTTGCTGATATGAAAACTATATAGCCTTGGGAAATGGGGTTAGGGGCTGGGGCAGGAGCGGCAAACACAAGTTCCCAGGACTTGGGAGATGTAAGGTAGGGAAGCCCAATCTGGCCAACCTGCAATTCCAGCATTCCTGTTTCATGAGCAGCTGTATTATAGACGAAATCTCTAGATTGACAACTGATTCAAAACTTAAAACACACAGTTGGGCCAAATGCCCAAGTTTTTGACTTTGGGCTGCCAGACTGGAGGCAAGCAGGCAGACTGGAGGAGGCTGGCTACCGCTGACAGCCCTCCAGTTCTGAGTGGGACTGTGCACTCACGCCATGGATTGGTGGAAGTCAGACAGGTCTTTCTGTGTGGCATGGAGAAAGAGGATGGTGGCAGCCTGGGGACTCAGTGATGCATCCCAGGAGGTACTGCCTGCCTGAGGGCAATAGTGGAGGTGTGTCAGGACCTGACAGGTGACCCCTGTGGCACCCAGCCCTGGGAGGGTAGTACCTGGTGCTGGGTGACCTCATGGGACACCAGCTGCTGTAGAAGGTGGAGGTGCACTGTGTAGCTGGGCTGGGAGCGGCTGGCCGCAGTGGCTCTCTGCAATGGTGGCAGTGTGTCTGTGAGTAGAGGGGACTCCGCACCAGATGCAGCCAGCCCTCCACAATTCAGTCAGGCCACTGAGTCAACTGGGCCCAGGCCCAGGTATACCCGCTTGTGAATGAGCTGGAATTGCAGGTGGCACTGGCCACGGTCTGGGTAGGTCTCAGTGCAGGGCTCCAGGGGATACCACTGGTCTTCTTTGCAGCGTAAGTCCTGGCAGGCAGGAGACACCCTGATGAGCACCAGGACCTCACACAGAATCAGAGTTGGGAGTGGGAGACTGTGAGGGGGAAAATCCCAGGTTCAACTTGGTGCAGATCTGGAGCCCCTCCCCAGAACCCTTCACGGTCCTCTCCCTTCACCTCTCTCTTGGGCCTTTCTTCTCATCCCCTCACCTGCAGCCTCAGAACCACGTTCCCCAGAAAGTCATCCTGGCCTTTGTCCTTCCGAGCCTCCTTAAATATCCTGTTTTAGGCAAGGAGACAGGCCAAGTGCTTCAAGAGATCAGGCTGTAATTTGCCCCTGACCTGTAGCCACCTGGGCCCCCAAGGATGGAGCCTCCAGTCCAGCATCCAGTGTGCATGTGTGGAGAGGAGCTTCCCTCCTTCCCTTAGTGCCTGTGGCACCCACCTTCGAAGCCCATGCAGATCTGTGAGCTCCCCAAGTTTTTGTCTGACAGATTCCACGGTGTCCAGGTCCCTGGTAGGCCAGAGGTTTGAGCAAGAGGGAGAGAGGGTGCCCATGACTCCTGCAGGAAGGGAGCTCCACCACCTTCACCTCTGGTCCCCTTCTCTTCCTCATCCCCAGTTGCAGGCATGTCACTTACCACATGTCCAGGTGAAAGTTTGCATTAGTTATGTCCTCAAACTCCCTGTAGGGAGGAGAAAAGGGCATGCTTGAGAGCCTTGGAGGGTTAGGACTCCCACCCCCGCCCCCAACACACACACACCAGGCCAGGCCACAGGTCCCCAGCCCAGAGCTACTGTCCCCAATATCACTCACCATGGAGTCTCTGTCCTTCCCTGCCAAGTTCCTCCTCTCCTCCCAACCACAGCCCTCCCTCCTTCAAGGTAAGGGTGCTCCCTCATTCACCTGAAGGGGCCCACCAGCATGTGTGGCATGTGTTTATTTATTTTATTTAGAGACAGGGTCTTGCTATATAACCAAGGCTGGCTTGAGCCTTCACTCGTCCTGCCCCTGCCTCCCAAGTGCTGTGATCATAGTTGTGTTCCACAATACTAGGCAGGTATATGTGTGACAGTTATGTCCTGTCTGACCTACTATCTGTCTAGCGTATTTCGAGAACCCAGTGCCCCTTCCCTGGATCCAGGAAGACTACTGAGTTCATTGACTGGGGACTGCTGACCAGAGGAACCCCCTATGAGGTAAGGGCAGGACCACGTACAGGATGAAGGTCTCATCCCAGACTGGGTTGAGTGTCTGGCTGATGACCTGGGTGCGGTGTGTCTGCTCCTCGGGGATGGTGTGTCTCACCACAGCCTTCTGCCGACGCCGGGACCCGGGGCTGCCCCCTGGCATGCCCACCCCCTGCTCAATGCCTAGCAGGCAATAGGGGTCACTGAACCCTGGAGAGGAGGAGGACAAGGCAGCAGGGAGTCAGCCAGGCTCCCTAGAGAGTCAGAGTCTCTCATCAGCCCCTGGGACTGAGCCTCCTCCTGGGAGGACAGAGAAAGCCAGACAGGGCCCCTTCCTGCCCAGATACCAAGTGCAAGAGGACAGCAGTGTGGAGCGAGCCCTAGAGGATGTTTGGGAAATGGGAGTACCTGCCAAGAGTTCTAGAACAGACCGATGGGGAGAGGGATGAGCCAGGAAGAAACCCCTTGGGGTACCCCCAACACTCACCACTGACATCCTTGCCCAGAATACCCTTGGCCTGTTTCACTGTTGCCTTCAGACAAAATACTGGCTTCTGGAAGGATGGAAGGGGATTGCCTGAGTCCCTGAGATCTGGGCTTCCCAGGCCTCTCCTTGCCCAGGTGCCCTGGCCCAGGTTACCTCAAGCTCCCTGACATGCTGCAGCATCTGTTGGTGCTCCTCAGGAGGCACTTGGAAGGCCTGGTGGGGAAGCCATGGAGGCCAGAGGTGTGAGAGACTGGGAGCACAGGGGGAACACCCAAGCCAGGAATGGAGGGCTCCAACTGCCCAGGCTGCAGGAACATGGGTGGGGTGGGGGTTGGGCTCACCTCCCGCAGGTATCTTAGGAGCTCTGAGGCTTCGATCACATGGTTGGGCTCTGGCTGACCCAGGCGGTGCAGGACAGTGTAGAGCGCTTCCTCGTAGAGCAGGTCCCGCTGAGATACAACGGGGTCACCTTGGGAACCCCTCCACCCTCCGGCCATTCCCTTGCACCAATGCCTCATGCCCAGAGCAGAGGTAGGGTGCCATATGTGCATTGGAAGTAGCTGAGACTAAGGTCCCCCCCACCAGACTGCTGCAGTCAGCCTCAGTCAGGGCTGAGGGGCCTCCAGGAGAATGCAGGGCTGCGGCAGCTCACCTCTCTGCAGCCCCACTCTGATTCTTACCTCCTCGCGGGAGAGGTGGTGGGATGGAGGCTCGATCTGGAGAACAAGGTGGAAAGACGAGGTGTCCCTAGAGGCCTGCTCAGCTAGGCAGAAAGGCCCAGGCCTAGGGCAGCCAGGCCCCAGCACCCCAGCCTCCAGGCCCACCAGTGTCCCACACCTGTTCCCATAGCAGGCCTCCTGACTGCTGACCTCTGGGCTGCCTTGTTCATCCCCTGGCCTGCTGCTGCTGAGGTCCATGGGCGTTCAGCTGTCCCAGTAGTGCGCCCTCCGCCACTTGCCCCCACCCTCCCTTCCTTCCCCAGAGGAAACAGCAGTGCTATGCTTATCAGGCAGCCGCCTGCTCTTCACCCCTGCGGCGGAAGTGAGGCCCAGAGGCTGAGGTGGAGTCGGGGGTGGGGGGTGGGGGTGTCGAGCAGGCTTGGGTGGCTCAGGGGTACCCAGACAGCCCACCAGCAGTAGGGACACTGTCCCACGGAGCCAGTTCCTTTGCAGCTGGAGGAACAGTGGATGGGGTTAGGCCCTCCAAAGGTAGCAGGCTAGAGAGGCTCAGGCCCCAGAACTGAGAGGCTCCCGGTGGTCCAAAGAACATATGGCAGACCCGGCTCAGCCCACCCAGAAGTCTTTGCCCAGGATCAAGGTGGGCAGGTAGGTGGGGCCGGACAGATAGTCAGGCTCTGGTTCCTCAACACCCCTGAGCCCCCAAGCCAGCTTTTCTCCCGAACGAGGTCACTCCTACCTCCTGGGTTGTTTTGGGCAGGGGATCCTGCAGGCCTTTGGCTCTGTGGCGTCTTATCTTGATGGCCTGGCGCAAGAGGGGCTGGCGCCGCGGGTGGTCGAAGAGGTGTGTCGCCATGGTGGCTTGCTCTGCCCTTCCCGCTGCAGCCCCACAGCCACTGGGTGAAGACAGCCAAGCCGCAAAATGATGCAAGGAGCCCTGAGGCTGCCACCCTCTGCCAGGAGAGGGCGGAGGGAGGGCGGTGGGGGGATGGGTCAGGGTGTCACTGCCTTGGAGGGGCCACTCACAGGCCCCCTGAGTCTCCTCCCTCCAGCCGGTTCCTTGCAGGATCTTCCCTAGGCTAGAGCAAAAGGTGGACCCTGTGGGCAGGCCAACCCCACTCCCCTCCCACAGAGGCCCTGGGGAGGGTCCAGGGCTCCCAGTAAGGGATACTTGGCCAAACCAGATCGCACCCTTCCCCAACTGTGCGCTGCACCTTGGAAAGCTGACCTGAGCTCTGGGGTTCTTGCTCCAGGCTTCCCAGAATGGGCTACAGACCTGGGCAGGGGTGGGGCAGGCTCAGGGTGGGGTCACATGAAAGACATTTCTCCAGCCAGCAGTCAGCTGCTCAGCCTGCTCCACTCCACAGGTGACATTCCATGCAGGTGACAGGGTCAAACTGGCAAGCCAGAGACTGCCTTCTAGCCTCTGCCCTACCACATGGTCAGGAGGGTTCTTCTTCAAATACCCTTGTAGGGTCTTAGCCAAATCCAGGAGCCCCTGGGCGGGGCTGGCAGAAGGAAGAAGCAGTCTAGGCCCTGTTCGCAATCTCTCCACAAGGGCAGACTTGGCCACGGGGACAGGACGCTCAGCACTGGGGTTTCCCAGAGCTCCTTGACTCGCGGAAGCAGGGTCATGGGTTCTGGCTGCTTCCCACACTCCTCTCCGGGTACACAATGGGGCATGAAGGCACACACTGCAGTGGCCAGCCAGGCTATACTTGTGCTTGTTGGCAACAAGCTTTTCCTTTCTTTGCCCAGCTCAGCAAAACCCTGGCTTCGAGGTCCAGGGCAGCTGGTGTTGGCCACCCAGGCATCAACAAAGCCATTTCCTGACCACCTGCCACATGTTGGCACTGTCCTTTCCCATTCCCTTCATGGATCCTAGCCCATTTAATCCTGGTACAGGCCAATGACCATGTTTATAAAGGGAACACTTAGGCACACAGCCAGGCTTTGTGGAGGTGCCCCTCTCACAAGCCCTGGCGTGCTCTGGGTCTAAGCTGGAGACATCTGGTCTGAGCCTGGGATAATGGCTGCAACCCTACATCAAACCAGGAGGAGGTAAGACAAGGTGGGGAGTTGGCAGGTGGGATACCTGCCCTGCCCTGCCTCCAGCCTAGTACTGCCATTTGCCATGCCAGCCAGGTGCTAGGGGCCTGTGGGGACACTGGGTACCAAACAGTTCACAGGTCCAAGGGATCCGATCAGGGAGGAAACAGCTCCTCCCCCAGCAGCCAGACAGCTCTCCTTCTGGAAGGGTTCGCCTTGGTCACCACACACACAGCCAGGAAGGGTCCAGTTACTTCATTTTTACTATTTCACAGTTTTAGCAAACAAATCAAGGTGCGAACGGGGTTTATTTCACATTAATATATTAACTGTTTTTTTTTTTTTTTTTTGTCAAATAAATAGGGAATTCTCTTTAAATAGCCATCTCCTCACTTCATCATGCATCCAGGGGGCATGAGGCTTGAGGAGGGGCTGGCAAGGGATGGTGGTAGGTTCCAGGTGCAGAGTTGGGGGCCTCATTCGCAGCCAACCCCACAGCCCCCAAATGGCATGACAGGATGGATGTGCACTCTACAGCTCCCGTTAAGAAGCCCCTTGTAGAAGGAAGAGACATGGAAGGGAAACAATTCCAGAAGGGGGGGAAGGACTGGGAGCAGGGCCTCCTCCCCAGCCTCGTGGCCTTGACCTTGATGCTACCCGACCTGTGGAAGCCCGTGTTAATGCTCCCGAAGTCAGAGGGAACAGAGTGAGCAAGGACAGTTGACGGTGGGGCAGGTATAACTGGGGCCGTGGCCTGGGTGAACGGAATGTAGCCCGACAGTCCAGCAGGGTGTAGCCTTCTAGGATCAGGCACAGACCAGTGGAAGGAACGTTGAGTAGGGCCTCAGAGGGCTTGTGGGGGAGACACATGGCTCACGGGGCTCAGTATAGACTAGCTACCAGACCAAGGGGACTGGACTGCAGTGGAGGAGGTGGCCAAAGAGTCCCTCCGTGGGAAGGAGTTACTAGAGAAAAGAGGAACCAGGGGGCACCTCATGCTCCTGAAAGCCTCAGAGACGGTGAAAGGGAAGCTTGACAGAGAAGCGCCGTGGGCTGAGCTAGTGTGGGAAACTGGGGTGTCTCTCCAGAGTTCAGGGCCCCATCTTTCCCACAATGCTGGTTCCTGGTAACTGTTTATAATCAGACCTAGGGAAGAACAAAGTCCTCCCTGGCCTCCCCCAGACCCCGGATCCAGCCCCAGCCCCACAGGGAGGGGCAGGATTGAGCCAAAAGGGTAGGAGGCAGGGAAGTGGGTGGGGTCTACTGTGTCTTCTTATCTTCGGGAGGGTAGTAGGGTGGCGGTGGAGGCTGGCTCTGAGGAGGAAAGGAAAGATTACATTAGAAGGTACAGGTTGAGCTGAGGTCTCTCTGCCCCTCCTCCCAGCCTTCATGACCAAGGGGGTGGTCTCCTTCCACTCACCGTGGGCATGTAGACATTGTGGGGGTTACCAGGGTTGTAGTAGGCACTGGCAGCTGCTTCTGCGGCCTTGGCCTCAGCTGTGAGAGCAAACACATGGTAGAGATCAGTGACAAGCCCTCCCATCCTCTGCCCAGCTCAGTGAAACCTGACTTCAAGGCCCAGAGCAGCTGGTGCTGGGGACTCAGGCCATCAACAAAAGTGGCAGCTGGTTTTCTGAGCACCTGTCACATGCTGGCACTGTCCTTTCCAGTAGCTTTACATGTCTTACCCCAAGTTATCTTTGACACAGCCCACAAGGTGGTCCTTTGACTATTGTTTATACATGAGAACACTGAGGTGTACAGGTAGCCTTCTAGTCCCAGGGGGGTCACATGGCTAGCTAAGGGCTGGAATCCAGCTCTTTACCACCCTCTTGGTTTCTTGGGTGTGTGCAAGGAGGGCGGTGTGTCCTTCATCATTAGGGGCTCTTAGCCATTCTGAGGTTCTCTGAGACCCTGGGAAGGAGACAGCTAGTCCCAAAGGATCGCAAGCAGCCTAGAAGCCTCACCTGCAGGAGTGGAAGGAACATCAGGACCACTGACCGGAGGCTCCATGGGCCCAGGATAGGGTGGTGGCGGGGGCTGCACATATCCCATGGCCCCATCCATCATGGGAGGTCCTGGATAGAACTCTGAATGGCAAGGGTGTGACAGGGACCCAGTGAGCAGCCAGGCCCAGCTCTCTCAAAGGCTGCTCCCAGGAGCCACATGTCCAGCTCCTTAGGGCACCCTCCAATCTTCTCCAGTGTCTGTTAGTTCTGAAGCAGGTGAAGGAACAAGTCTCCCCTCTGCGCCCCCTGGCCTTGGAGAGGTGGTTAGTGGGTGGGTGGGTGGGTGAGGGATGGGCAGCAAAGGACACACTCACCAGGTGGGGGCGGTGGATAGGGGTAGCCAGGAGGGCAGGGGTACATTCCATTGGCGACTGGCGGGGGAAAGACATAGGCCCCGCTGGGCATGTAAGGGTAACCATAGGCTCCATTGGGGGCTTCACCTCTGGAGGCTAAAGTACAAGGGGAGAGAGAGATGAACGCCATCTGCCTCAGGGTTGCCTGCCTCTACCCCCATCCCACTGCCCATCCCACATGGGTCTGTCTGCCTTGGTCAGGATGGGGGTGAAGGGAGAAGTCAGAGCTGGGGAGGTCAAAGACGGGGTGGTGGCATGGACTGAGGGAAAGGTGGAGGCTTGGGGATAGGGTGAGAATGAGCCAGAGCAGATGTCTGCTGAACACGGCATTTGGTAATTTAAAATGGTTGCTTAATGGCAGCTTAATGGTTGGGTTTTTTGTATGTTTTTATGAATCCAAACAGCTCTGTTAGAATGTCATCCACCTGTTCCAGGCAGAGGAAACCCGGGCTCTGAGGTATGGAACACAGTGGGTGGTAATTACAGCCCCGGTCAGCTGGGCCCAGGTACTTATCTTTTGGTGCTTACAAAACAAAACAAAGGAAACAAGTTAAAACAAAAACCTCACATGTTGGCTGGGTCCTTGACCCCTACTTTTTGGAACCTGGATACCTTGAGATGCCACCTGGAGCATCCGTTGTCCAAACTCAATGGCGCCCCCTGCTGTGAAGGTCAACTTGTATGAAGTGGAGCCTTCCCAGCCACCTGAGAAAGAGCAAGGACAGTGAATGAACAGCTCAGGAGAGAACACAGGTTATGTCCAAACGGATGGCTCTTTGCTCTCTCAGGCCCTGGCCCAATCCCCCGGAGGCATGTGGGAAAACGCTAGGACTTTTCCAGCTTGTCTCCCACACGCCACCTGGAGCTGCAGGCTGGCGAGGCTCCTGCTTATGGGGCTTCACCCTTTGGAACAGAGGGTTTTCTTCTTAGAACAAGCTTGCCTTCCCACCCATAGCCCACCAAGTACATGAGATTGAAGGCCATACAGTTGGTTTTAGAGCTAACATTGGAGAGGAGTTTCTCTCCACCCCAATAAAGCACTGGGCAGCTTCCAGGAGCATCCTGAAGGGGCCTGAAGACAGATCCTAGGTCCTCTAGCCTGGCTGGGTGTGAGGGGAGGGGAGTTTGTTCCAGAGACCTCTGGTGTCTGTGAAAGTCTGCCACAGACAGCCTCCTCCATCCTCCTAGAAGGCAGCTGCCTTTTTCTGGCTCTTGTGAAAAGGGCCAGAAACAGGACATGGCTCCTTCTCAAACCCAATCCTAGACACTCCCCAGGTCATGATATTTAGTTTTCTGCTGACTTCCTTCTCTGAAGTGGTGATCTGAGCTGTCAACTTTAATACAGCATTTTCCCAGTTCTTGGCAACCAAAATGCACGTGTTGCTCAGTCAGTAGCCTAGATGTTCCTCTAAAGTGAATCCAGAACTGGGAAGGAGACCAAGCCAGGATGATGATGGTCCCAAGAGTATGTCCCTAAGGTGGCCACAGCCCCTCACTGGAGGACCGTCATGCCTGAGCTGTCTTTAACCTACCTCCTGCTTCGGCCTTCACTGTTCCCTTGATGTAGTTTGCACCAAACACAGGCTGCTTGATCTCACAGTCCTTCATCAGATAAAATGGCATCATAAAGGACTGCATGGCATCCTTCCCCTTGGATAGAAAGATGACCTGCAGGGAGAGAGGACGAGGGACATCAGCAGTGGAATGGCAGTTGGCTCTGACTCAGCCATCACTTCCCACCTGCTTCCTGTGTGTGATGAATCTGCTCCCAGTGCCAGAGCAGGCACCCACACCAGCCCCATGGTGCTCTACACTAGACATCCACAGAGAGTGGCGTAAAGTAAAGGCTTCAGGTGCAGCCTGGAAAGGCCAGACTCAGTTCACAAGAGCAACAAACACGCCAATCACAGGGTATGTGAGCAGAAAGATGCTGTTATTTAAGGGGTAAGGGAGGTGGCATATGTAGTGCACGCCTGAAGGGGCCTGCAGCACTACAGACATGCTGGCAGGGGCAGGGGCAGTCAGGGCTCCTAGGGACTGGGGGAGAAGCTTAGCCTGAGCCTTGAAGATAATGAAGGCATGTAAGGGCCAGAGCCCAGAAGGGGCCATTGTGTCCTTCCTGCAGATGACTGTGCTCAATGGCCAGCCACGGAGTTCTCCAGTTCCATGCTTGGAGAACCCCTTGAGTTTCAAAACCACCAGATAAATTTAGTTTAACTGAATATTTAAACTTGAACTTTCAGAGATAGGGTTTTGAGAATCCCTATTTCTGCTTGTCATAAAGATGTGCTCCCTTTCTTCAGCCGTTTTCAAGTCTCACTGGTGGGAAGCTATAGACAGTGCCCGTTCCTAAGCCTGTCCATTCCTATTATTCTCTCAGTCCACGTGGCTAACTCTCAGCCCAGGCCCATGCTGCAGTCTGGCATTTCTCTCTCTGCAGCCTTCTACTGGGCTCTCTGCCCAACCTGGAGGCTCTGGCAGTGCTCCTGTATCCTGTTTATCATATCTATCACTCTGGATGTGCACACAGGCCTTACTGGCTACTCCAGGCCCAAACCATCCAGCATCTACAACCAACTCTAGAGAGATTTTTATGGAAGCAGTTCTAGAATTTGCATGAATTTAGTGCCCAGCAGTCGGTTCAGCAGCATAAAGAGCCTGATGGTTCTAGAATCCAGAGGCATGTGACAGAGAAACAGGCAGAGCAAGGCACTAACATTCAAGTTAGTTCAGAAGCCATGTGAATCACAAGACTGAGGATAAGACACCCATGGTCCCTCAACACAGAAAGCTTCTAACCCAACTGTCTGCTGTGCAACTCACCCGGTAAGGGGTAAGATAGACGGTGCCTTTCTTGGTCCCTTTGAAGGCCTCTGGTATGTTTTTCATGTCGTTGAACGTAAGTTCCACATGATCATAGGACATTAGGATGCTGTGATGAGAGAAGAAAGGCCTTGATGAGACAGCTGGAAATGTCATGTGTCACCCCCAGACACTAGGCAAAGTTGCCCAACACATTGTCTCCAACGGGCTACAAGGAAACCACTAACACAGCCAAGAAGAGATGAGCAAGGTGGTGTCAGCAGAATTTCCCCAAACTCCACTTATACCACCACCAAGTGACCAGCACAGTAGCAGAACTGCAGGGCTCTGGAGATGTCCTCATCCCTCAAGGTGGGTTAGATTACCTAGGTTCCCTCTTCTGTTTTCCTTTATGTCCTATGATAGGTGTTCTGGTTTTGCTGGGGTTTTGAGCTTAATATATTAACATGACAGAGTCCAAGACATGAGTCTACAAATTACACCAGGGCTTCTTAACCTGGGTCTATCTACGAAGCCCTTATGATGGTCAATGATCGCATGTGTGCATTTTTGTGGGAGGAGAGCTCCCAGCTTTCATCTCTCTCAAAGGGGTTCATGATTTAAACATGAGCTCACTATTTTAAGTACCGAAGTTTAAACACTGAAGTTAAACTTCAATTATTATTGACATATCTTTTTTTTTCAGAAATGAGGCTGAAGTATGTTGCAAAACAAGTCACACCTTCATGTAGCAGCACTGAGCTCGAAGCCAAGTAAGGAGGCCCAGAAGGATACAGACATCCTTGTCCCAGAAAAGACCTACTGAGAAAGAAAACCAGTCCCAAGAGATGTTACCAAATGGCATCGAACTGTTTGACCAGGTCCAGGAACTGGCTCAAACACACAGATGCAACAAACTAGTGAACAATGTGAGGTTTCTCTAATTACATGATAAAAAGGTCCAAGTTCATATGGTTCTATTCGTTTTCCTCCTCCTCTTCCCAAATATCACAAGTTTCTTGACCAGGGAGGGGTTTAGTGGGAAAGAACTGGCACAAAAAGAAAGGACAGTTCAGAGAAAAGAAGTGACTACCAGGAACAGACTGGGTCCATCAGACCCTCCTGAAATAAAAGGCAGGGAAAAGTCAGCGTTCTGAGGTCTGGGTCAGCCCTAGCTGCCTCCAACTCATCAAGCATTTCCGAGTGACAGGTCCCAGGCTGGGTGCTGGTCTGAGCTAAGCACAGGCTCCGACTCCACCATGTCTCCCTTGGGAACACAGGTATCTTCTAAGAAACTCTGCCTTCAAGGTCAGCATATCACAACCCCAGGACTGACTGGTCTGATTCTCAATGCTAATGGGCAAAGAGGAGAGAGAAGCCATCCAAGGAGCTCAGAAGAGAGACAGATGCACAGGCAAGAAGGGGTGGGGAGGGTGGAGTAGAAAGAGTCTTGAAGTTGGGAAGTCTCTAGTATGGGGAGTGATGAAATCATGCCATAAGAAATTCTAGAGAAAGAGCTAAGAGACTAGCCTGGCACCAGTAGCTCACGCCTGTAATCCTAGTTACTCAGGAGGTAGCGATCGGGTGGATAGTTTGAAGCCAGCCGGGGGAAATAGTTCCTCAGGACTCTATCTCGAAAAACCCTTCACAAAAACACAAAAATAGGGCTGGTGGAGTGGCTCAAGGTGAAGGCCCTGAGTTTAAGCCCCAGTACTGCAAAAAAAAAGAGGTAAGAGACTAAATTTTACAAGGAACCACCTTCATACCGGGATCACAAACATTATCTGATTTTTACCTCTGGGGCCTCAGTTTTTCACTTTGAACCTGAGCGGTTCTGGAATATACTAGAAGGCTGTCTACTTGTAGTTGCGCTGACTTTGGGGTCAAAACGCCTCCTGGAATGCTCATCTCTTGTTAGCTACAGCCCTGTGACCCAGTGCAAGTTACTTAACCTTCCTAGGCCTCACTTCCTTCACCCATAAAACGTCTGCACAAGATTTTTCTATTAAATAAGGTACAGTAGCTGCTGCGTAGTTAACGACGTCGTAAGAGCTCGATAAATGGCAATTATTTTTGTTTAAGGCTCCTCCCAGCTCTTAAAAATCACCGAATCTGGGTAGAGACTCAAGAACAAGCCCTAGGCCCCACTGCGGCCCCCAAGCCCGATCTCCCAACCCTTCCCCACCCTCAGCTGATCGCAGCGTCCCGGCCCCTCGCCATGACCCACCAAACTCCCTCCGGCCCCGCCCCGGCAGTTACCCCACCACACACACACGCCCGCGCTGCATCAGTGTCTCTCAAGGGTTTACTCAACATCGCCCACGAACCGCCGCCCACCACCCAAAGTATCGAAACGGCCCTTCAGTTCTCCGGAATCCTTCCGCAGTGTTTTCACCTCTCAGTGTTGTTGACGATCACTCCGCCGCCCTCCGAATGATTCTTGTTAAGCGCCATGGTCTCTCCGAAAGGGGTCCCGCGACTCGAAACGCAGTGCGCCTGCGCCCCTCTTCGTCCCGCCCCCAGTGGCGTCGTTCGTATTAGAGTTAGCCAATCACAGCTCCTGCACGGAGGCTGGGCCAACCACCTGATCCCGGGCATCACGTGGTAATAGTTTACTGCCTCTGCGCCCCGCCCCCGTTCCTCCTGCATCACAAACAAGCTTGAAGCCTACACTTCCCAACAGGCAACGCTCTCGCAATTTGGATCTCTTCCTAAACTTGGGGAGCAGATGCCTTCTGGAACTTGTAGTCTTCCAGGCTGAAGGCCGGGCTTGACTCCACTATTTACGTAACCATGAGTCTGTGCACTGCCCACCCCGCCTTCTCAAAGATCAGGTGAACTTTGGCTCTTCAAACCGGCATTAATCCTGAGGCCCTGGACGCGTGTTAAGGAAACCCACACGGACAAAGCGTAACCTAAATATGGTTTGAGGAGCACTGAACAGTCAATGTGGCGTCTTCATTCACTCAGCAGACGTTTATGAGGAACTTTGTGTATGACACTGCGCTAGGCTGGGATAGGCACTGCAGACCCAGTCTCTTCCTGGAGGTGGTGGGCTATCCGAGTCGGAACAAACAGCCACCGCTTCAATCAACTCAAACCTACACACTCCTAGGTGGGCTGTTAAGACCCCTATGGGCTACCCTGTTCGCTGTTCCGGTGGGCAGGACGCCTCCACCGCAGCTGGCCTCGAGGTGGCGCTGCCCCCTCTAGAATGTGCCGGCTATGCAGTCCGGCCCGCCCTGCAGGGTCCCGGCTGGAAAATTCAACCAGGACCCGGAAAAACCGAATGCACTCGGTACAGTGCGAGACCGGCACCAGATGCCATGACTTTCGAAATAAGGCTGACTCATTTCTGCTTCACTGGAGCTGTAGTGTAAACTCCACCCCCGAGATGAACCTAGGAGGGGACTTGTCGGGGTCCTTGAGCCTCCAAGTGGCATCTTAATATATCCTTAATCTTATGGGATCGGGATCGTTGTGTGACTTTAGGCAGGTAGCTGATTTCCTGGCGTGGGCAGCCAACCCCTCCAGCCACCAGCATGACTTAGGTTTTGGTTTTGGTTTTGTGGCGGGGACTGGGGTTTGAACTCAGGGCTTTGCTTTTGCAGAGCAGACGTTCACAAAGCAGGTGCTCTATGGCTTGAGCCACACCTCCAGTCCATGACTTAACTTTTGTGCGTGTGTCTGTGTGTCCGACACAGGGTCCCACTATATAGTCCACGCTGGTCTGGAATTAGAGACCTTCCTGCCGTTACCAAGTGAAAAGATTGCAGCCATGTTCCACCAAACCGGGAAGACTTAGTTTTTTGTCGTTCTCCCCCCACCTCCCCACCCCCTGCCCCACCTCCTGTACTGGGGTTTGAACTCAGGGAGTTCACAGTGAATTAAGGACATTCATGATGAAATCTGCCCTGCGTGACAAGAGTAATTTTGGCCCACGAAACCTATGCCGCACTTAAAAAGAGTTCAGTCCACCTCTATGTGCTGATATGGAAAGATTGTTAAGAGCTTATAAATATGCTTCCATTTATATAGAAACAGGCTATAGATACTTTCAGGAAAAAGCCACCAAAAATTGTAGCACTATCCCTTTGAGATAGCTCTGGGAATTTGGGATGGGCTTGTGACCACCCCAAATTGTATTCTTCTGTGGTGTTTATTTTTTTTTCTTATGTGCACTTTGATAAAAGTCAAAGTGGCTACAGAATGGTTTTATTAAAAAAAAAAATCTTGGGGGATGGAGGGGGGAGGTGGGCCCAAATAATGCATACATATGTAAATAAATGTAAAAACAATAAAATAGAATTAAAAAATAAAATTTTAAAAATTTTAAATAATAAAATATTTTTTCTGAGCCACAAAATTGTCAGTAACTGAATCAGCCAGAAGGAATAATGATTTTTCAGCATCTAACAATACCTTGCAAGGTTTGACAAATACTCAAGTGACCAGTTTTGCCTCTTGACCTGGAGGTTACAATGGACATACAAAAATTTACGAGCAACCGTATTTGTGTCAGTTTCCAATTGCTGGACTTTTTTTTTTGGTGCTGGGGCTTGAACTCAGGACCTACACCTTGAGCCATTCCACCAGCCCTATTTTTGTGATTTTTTTTTTTTTGAGATAGAGTCTTAAGAACTATTTGCCAGTGCTGGCTTTGAACCAATATCCTCCTGATCTCTGTCTCCTGAGTAGCTAGGATTATAGGCGTGAGCTACCAGCACCTGGCTTTGCTGGACTTGATAAAAGTCCAAGTCTAGTGTTCTTCAGGGGATTGTTAGTTCAGCCTGTGTTTCCTGATTTGCAAATCTATTCTCCATCAGAATAAAATGGTCTTTATTTTAACTTAATGTCTAACTTCTTGGTTTACAACTTCAAATAATAAACTTTGAAAAGAAAGGGAAATTCACCAGGTCATGGGTATGCAGAAATGCATTCTGTAAGGACTGTAAAAAGGAAGTTGAAGGGCGGGGATGGGGTGGGAGGAGGGAGGAAGAGGCCCAAACAATGTGTACACATGTAAGTACATGTAAAAATGATAAAAGAAAGAAAAGGAAGTTGGGGGGCCCCAACTCCAACTCCATTCTTCTACCAGTTTGGAGGTAGAAGCAGATCCAGGTTTGGGGGCTTGAAGCTTATACAATTTTGGAATCCCTCTTTAAGAAACACACAATTCTGAGTACACATTGGTAAGGCCACCCTGAGGCCTCTTGACAGGAGGGGAAATGTCAGGAAGAGGAACTCACATGCAGAGGAAGATAGCAGGAGGCTCAACTGATTCCACTAAAATAGCCAATCTTTGCAAGTTTTAGAAAAACACATGACCATGTGACTGCATTTCCAGGGCTGCTCCCTGGCCATGGAAGGGGCTGGTTGTCTTCAGTGTCACCGGGCGGTGCACAGTGACTGTTCATGATTGACCTGAGTTAGCAGCAAGAAGCCCCCCTGGTTCCAGGTCTCAGAAGTTAGAGGTCCTCTCTGGCCTTCTCTACCCAACGCTGCTTCTTTCCAGTCATGGAGTGATCTCCTTCCACTGAGCTGCAATTGCTTCTGTTCTCCAGACTTCCTGAGCAGGGTGCTAAGAGGAGGTGCAGGGGTACCAGAGCTATTCACCAGGCAGGCCTCTTGATGCCCAGTGAACCAAGTACATTTCATTTGTGCTGGACAGTCATTTATTGTGTACCATGATATTTTAATGTGATCTCACTGTGCTGCCCAACTAGTTTTGAACTTCCAGACTCAAGCAATACTCCTGCCTCAGTCCTCCAAGTAGCTGGGACTACAGATGTGCACCACATCTAATATATTTAATGTATATTTACATGTGGAAGTGAAAGAGTAAAAACCTATTTGGGGCTGAAAGTAAAAAACTTCCCCAGGTCAAGCAGTGGTTGTGGAAGGGTATGAGACTCCCTCTCTCAGTGAAGTTTGCTTTCTTTTTTTCTTTTTTGGTGGCACTGGGGTTTGAACTCAGGGCTTCACGCTTGCTAGGTAGGCACTCTACCACTTGAGCCACTCTGCCAGTCCCAAATTTGCTTTCTTAATGGCTACTACAATTCTAGTTGTTCATGATATTGGTCCCAATACCAAATGGTTCACCCGATGACAGCGCCCAACCCTAGTAAATCCCTGCTGCTTCTCATCCCTCCTAAGAAACGGAGCTGATCCTTTTCTCCCGGAACCCTTCAGCACACACTGGACCAAACTGCTCTCCTTCCCTACCCACTGCAGCTCCTGGAGGTGAGCACCTGCAGATAGGGAATCCCGAAACCATACCTGGCCATACTCTGTGCTTTGAGGAAAGCTATCCTGTGGCAGGGAAACCTCTTAGTGCAGTTTTGCATGTAAAGGGAAAGGCTCCCGGAGGGCCAGTTCTAAGATTCTCTCTCTCTCTTTTTTTTCCTTTTTTCTTTTATCTTTTTTTGTTTCTTTTTTGAGACAGGGTCTCTTCATCTAGCCCAGGCTGGCCTTGAACTCAAAAATCTCTTGCCTCTTTTTCCTAAGTGCTGGGATTACAGGTATGTACTGCCAGGCCAGGTTCTAAGATTGTCTTACGGAAGGGATGAACATTTTATAGGAAAAGAGAACTGTCAGAGAGCCACTGTGAGGCCAGAGGTCACTGGGCTTCTGACTAACAACAGCTGGGTAGAGGGTGGTAACTGATTTCTCAGAACTATTTTAACTGCATTCAAGCTTATCTAAAAATTGTTTAGCTATCTTATGACAGATGCTATTCTTCCCCCATGAGTTACAACAGCTAAAAAACAAAAACATTGCCCAGACCAGTCTGGAACAATTGTTCCTCCCTCACTCCCTTCTTCCCTCCCTCCTTCCCTCCTTCCCTCCCACCTTCCATCCCTCCCTCCTTCCCTCCCTCCCTCCATCTCTCCTTCCATCCCTCCCTTCCTTCCTTCTCCTTTTCTTTTTTCTTTCTTTCTTTCTTTGTTTATTTAAATAAAATTAGGGAGAACATGTCTTTAAAAAAAAAACAAAACAGAAAAGAAACCAGCAAAACAAAACAACTTTCTAAAGTTAAGAATATTGCTCTAAGATAACTAGATAACTGAAAAGGCTAAAAAAGAATTGAAAGATGTCATAAAACAGCAGCCTCAAGAAAATATCACCACCAGCAGGGCTGGAAGACCAAAGGGAAATGTTGGAAATATAAAATAGAGAAGCTGCTTTGTTTTTGCATGTGTGTGTGTGTGTTGCTGAGATTGAACCCAGGGTCCCACATGTGCTAGGCAAGGACTCTACCACTTGAATTAGTCCCTCCACCCTTTTGTTTTTGTTTTGAGACAGTCTCACCACTACCTTTGCCTCTTTGCCTGGGCTGACCTCAAATTTTTTTAATTTTTTAAATTTATTTATTTTTGTGGTACTGGGGTTTGAATTCAGGGCCTACACCTTGAGCCACTCCTCCAGCTGTTTTTTCGAGATAGGATCTTGTGAACTGTTTCCCTGGGCGGCTTCAAACC